AGCAGGTTACACATATTTACCTTGCAAGGTGGAAGAAAAGCTCCAACTTTTCTATTAAATATTTCAAAACTAAGTCAAGCTATTCACATTTCTTGGGGAGGATAAAGTAAGATTCCCAGTAATCAAAAGAAATAAAGACCTTAGTACATACAGAAAGAAAATCAATTTTATAGTGTTAATAAAATAACAGAAAAGAGTAGCTGTTCTTCATGTCTGAGATCTCATTCTCACCCACAAAAATGAATAAAGAAGGAACAGGCACCACTGCATAAATATTCCACCACCTCTGCTTTCTGTGAGTACAGTCTCCCTTCGGTGTTTCTTCACAGTTAACAATGAAATTGATTTTTGTATTATCAGCCCGTTTTGTTTCCTTGGAATTTCTAGTCATGACTTCTGCAGAATTAAAACTCAGGGACTGTCAGCAATGTATCCAGAGCTCAGAATGAATAAAATTGTAATTCCAGGAATGTACTGATGTTGCAAATTAATTTGACATTCATTGTGACGAGTGATCAAGGCAAACTACTTTGCTGTTGTGCATGTGTTCAGAGGTATTGTCTGTCATAATAGCTATTTACATAGCTTTAGAAATCTAATGAAATCTACCAGTCTCCCATTTTTGCACAACAGTAAATTATTTTCTCTTTGTTTGGAAGCTTGGGTTGAAAACAGCACCAGGTTTACTTTCACCCACTCACATGAATCTCAGATTTTCTGGTATTCACTACAATTGATCTTTTCTGATGCTTCTACAGATATACAATAAAGTGCATTTCTCTAATATTTTCACAGTATTCAACATTGTTCCAAGTTCATCCTCTTTCTTCCAGATTGCTAAACACATTCAATGGTCAGCTAATCAGAAGAGCCAGAGAACCGTATTTCCAAAATCTTATTTTCACAGTGGGAACAGTTGCAAAGCTGTTACTTCCTAGTAACATATTTATTAATTCTGGCATATTTAGCAAACGAATAAACACATAAATAAATTATTACTTCTAAACAAGCAAAGTTTCTGAGAGGTCTCTAATGATCATTTCATAGAAATATAGTTACCTAAGCTGCAATTGTGTATCTCAGGTATAATTCCACAGAAAACAGTGTCAAATGTCAGTCATTACTCAGTATACCAGAGATACGAGTATTTGGCCAGTAACTTAGGGACTCTTTCTGTGTGTTTTTGTTAGAAAATCTGCATTTACATAAGAGATAATCTGTAAACATAATTTAAGTTCATTAAAGCATGTAAACACTATGGATTTGCTTCATTTACTTAAATGCATTGACTGATCAGAGGGCTGGAGCACCTCTCCTATGAAGACAGGGCTGGGATAGTGGGCTTTTTCAGCCTGGAGAAGAGAAGGCTCAGAGGACACCTTATAGAAGACATCAAGTACCTAAAGGTGTCTACCAGAGACCTGGAGACAGAATTTTCCCAAGGGCATATAGTGATAGGACAATGGGGAATGGTGGTAAGCTGAAGGAGGGCAGGTTTAGATAAGACATTAGGAATAAATTCTTTACTCTGAGTGTTATGAGGCACTGGAACAGGTTACCCAGAGAAGCTGTGGACTGCTCATCCCTGGAATTGTTCAAGACCAAGATGGATGTGGCCTTGAGCAACCTGGCCTAGTTGACGGTATTCCTACACATAACAGGGGGTTGCAACTAGATGTTCTTTAAGGTCTCTTCCAATCCAAGCCATTCTATGATTCTGTGATCTTAGCCAAGGAGAATTCCACATACCTTCATCAGGAGTTTTGTGTAAGGGCTATAAGAACATGCCCCTGGTTAAAACAAGAGACATCAAGTAAAGACAAAATATGAGAAGTATTTGCTTCTGGCAACAAGCAAGGTGGACCACAGTCAGTGCTACACAGCATTCCAATTTACCATTCTTCTTTCTAGAGGGAGTCCCAGACACTAGGGCAACACAATGGTTTGACATTCAGTGATGTGAATGTGCTAATGAACACGGCTGGTGATAATGTAGCAACTGCATTGTCTTTAACTCAAGTCTTATATGTAGTTCTTCAGCTGGGATGGAATAAAATACCTATCAGTTCCTTTTCTGTGTATGAATTAATCTAAGCAAAGGGGAGGAGACCCTGCTGAGTTCATAATATTGAATACCGTAATACATTTGTCTCAAAAACTGCATTACATTAACTGAGAATAATGCAGCCTTTATTCTTTCATACATATATTAGGTTAATGAGCCATTAAAGTGTCTAGTATTTAAAAGCACACAAAAAGATCTATAGTTTAAGCTTCAGAAGTCATCCAAATATCTTACAAGTGCCAATAGTACTCTCAACAGGAGAAATTTAGCCTTTCATTTATTTTTAAATCGCTCTTTCATTTTATTCCATAAAATGCATTTATATACAAAGAAGGCAGTTGAAATCTTTAATACTGAATCAAGTAATCTAAGTTAGAAAAAGCAAAATGGAAGCATATATGTTGGATAATACCCTGATCCTAATCAGGTCCCAGGAAATTAGACTCATTTTCTCTTTACTTTCTCTAGTCAAATAATCAGAAAATTCTTCCCACTGATCAGAATCCATAAGGAAATCTGTCCCCTTGGAAGAAAAAAGATCCACAAAGGGGCCATGTGCTTTGGCAGAGACCTCCAGATCTCCCAAAGAGGCTGTTGAAATACAGAAATGTTTGGTTTAGACCTCACCATGGGAACTCCCCAGCACTCACATGGACAGTAAATGTGACAAGGGAGTAATTGATTCAGCCTTGATACTTTTGTAAAGTCCAAACTGTTTTAAACCACAGCAGATGCATGCCCAGAGGATCAAGGAGACAGAACATGGTTTCAGAACTACAACTGTTTTCTATTGCAGACCAGCCTCACCCATGTCTTTTTGCCTTCTCAGAAGTTTACTGCATCTAATTGCTTCTGTATTATTGGCTCAGGAACAACACCCATAAATCTTTGAAATGTCTATGTGGTATTATCCTTGCATGATCTTGGCATATTTGTAACTGAAATTCTCCACCAGATGGAAATTTACTGCCAGTAGTTTCTAGGCAGATGTGATTTTCCAAAATCTGTTATTTTAGTCAGTATTCTACCAGGAGTCTGCCTGTCCTGTATTTCTATATATGATGAATAATTTCAGTTATTTTAAAAGAACTTTTGAGTCCTGTTACTTTGATGTTTCCATCATTCTATACCTTGTAACTATTGCCATTGACTAATACGGAAAGGTAATTACAGCAGAGCAGCATTTTAACTGATTACACGTATGTCAAGAGCATTAAACAATTTCCTTCCCCTTTGTTCCAAGATAACTGGATATAATACTATATAATCCCTATTATAACTAAATGCATGCTTCATGGTGGTGAGAATTTTAATATATCTCATTCTAAAGTCTACCGGTTCAATTTACCTCATGGCTCAGCACTGCTAGTAAGATTTTATAAGAAAAGAACTTGTGCTGTCACACCTAGGAGGAATTAATTTGTGAGCCAAGAAGTAGCTCTGTCATACAACATTCTCAGTAGGCACATGCAGAGAGACCACAGGTATGTACCAGATCTATACACATATATTCACACACATATACAGATGGAATGGTTTGGTTATCCATGGAATGGTTTGGGTTGGAAAGGATCTTAAAATACCATCTACTTCCAACACCCCTGTGCCAGCCACCTGCAAGGCAGCAGTGTGGCCCCATCCCGCCCATGCCTGCACTAGTTGCTGTTGGTAAGGGCTGCTGGGGGCCAAGGATGGGGCAGGTGAATGCTCCCCTCACTCCTGTCAGGTGACAGGGTAGCCAGAGTCACAAGGAGGAGTGGCATCCTCTGCCAACCTGTCCCACAGCTGGGAGGCTGATCTCAGTACTGGCCTCTCACAGAATCACAGAATATTCTAACTTGGAAGAGACTCACAAGAATCAGCAAGTCCACCTCCTGGCTTTGGACAAGATAGCCCCAAGAACCCCACCACATGCATGACAGCATTGTCCAAACTCTTTTTGAATTTTGTCAGGCTTGATGCTGTGACCATTTCCATGGGGACCCCATTCCAGTGCCCAACCATCCTTTGGGTGGAGAAGTTTTTCCTAATATCCAACCTAAACCTCCCCTGACACAACTTCAGGCCATTCCCTCGGGTTCTGCCACTGGTCACCATAGAGATCAGTGTCTGCCCCTCCTCTTCCCCTAACAAGGAAGTTGTAGAATGAAGTGAGCTGTCCCCTAAGTGTCCTCCAGGCTGAACAGACCAAGTCACCTCAGCTGCTCCTCATATAGCTTCTCCTCCAGTCCCTTCACCATTTTGGTTGCTCTCCTTTGGACACTCTTTAATAGTTTAGTGTCTTTTTTTATATTGAGGATCCCAACACTGCACACACAACTCAAGGCCATCCCAGAGCAGAGCAGAGCGGGACAATCCCCTCCCTTGCTCAGTTGGCCATGCTGTGCCTGATACACCCCAGGGTCAGGCCCTCCTGGCTGCCAGGGATCTGCTGACTCAGATTCAACCATCAACCAGGACCCAGGTCCTTTTTGGTGCAACTGCTTTCTAGCACCTCATTCTCCAGTCTGCACACACAAACAGGGTTTCTGAGTCCAAGGTGCAGAACCCAGAAACTCCCAGCTCACTTCTCTTCACTAGAAATAAGAGGAAGAAATGAAAGGAAAAAAAAATTCAGTTCCCACATCTTACAGTGACAAAAATATTTGGACTCTTTGTGACAACATCAGGAGTCAGAATCAGGACCCTCTAGAAGAATTTCACACTGTTTCCATGGAAAGAAAACATCGTTGTCATGAAGTGGGCTCTTTCCCCCAGTGTGCAAGGGGATGATCCATAGTCAGAGTGGAGGCTATGTCTGGCTTCCTTCATATGGAAAAAGAAGTTTCTTTCTTCTAGTCTTGGTTCTATAGTTGCTGCAATTACTGAGACACTAAACATAATTTTTTCCATTTGGGAGAAGTACATCAGCATTAGAATATACTGAAGGCAAGTATCACAGATAACTTAATGTTGAAATTTCTTTCTTCATTGCCTAACAAGAAAAAAAGACAAATTAGGAGTCACAGTGTGAACCAAGCAAGAGAACCGTGTTTGCTTCTTAAGGTTAAGGTAGAAGTAGAAAACAAAAAAATCAAGTCCAGTCACAAAAGCTCAAAAACACTGAGATAACATAAACAGGTCCCTTTTCATACTAAACCACATCATTATGCTAGATGAGAGAAGGGTGAGTGCATTTTTCAGGAATGGCCTGCACAATCAGAAGAGAGTCTGTTCTAACTCTTTATCAGATGTGGAAGAAGAAATTGAGATGACCAGGGCCAAAGAGCATTGGCTTGCTCATTTTTTTTTAAGGCAGACTGAGAGGCATAAAGAATTTTATCTATTCTCAGACACGAGCATCTGAAAGACAAATGGATTCAAGGGCCTTGAAGCTGAAGATTGAATATCCAACATATCTTAATGAACTCAATACTGGGAATGCCCAACTGGGACCATGGGTGCCTGTGGAAGATTTCTGTCTAGTTCTGACAACTCAGAAATCCTCTCTTTGAGGCAAAGATTAGAGAATTTGACTCATTAGCAAACTATCATAGGCAGAAAAATCACCATTTGTCAAATTAAAGATGCTTGAGCCATGCTAGTTAAAAAGAAAATCTGGTGAGACTAGAAAAAAGTCTGGAATTCTTGTTATGCTTCATAAATTTCTTTCCAATAATGGAATGACTACTATACAAGCATTACCATGTGTGCCTGCCTGCAAGGGGAGAAAGTGGAAGCGACACACTGAGAAATGCACCCTCCTTTCACAGCCTCCCACCCCTGAAAGGCTTCTGGAGAAAACTACTGACAGACTGAGGTTAACTGGTTTGAGAGGCCTGAGTGGGTGGACCCATTGTCTTCAAGCCTTTTCCTGCTGAAACTGCCAACAATTATGCTACATACAACAATGGTTTTGCAATATGGATAAATTTCTTCCGGGCTGAAATGAAAGCCTTGTGAAACAGGCAACTGAGCTGTAAAGTGTAATGCCAAGTAAGCGTGATGTTCACAGTGCACACATACATAAACATAACATGCACACTCATGTAAAATAGCATGTGACAGAAAGGGCTACAGGACAAAAAATTTACCTTCACTAATTCAGTTTTGTCGTCATCTTCCCGATGTCGGTAAATGCACTGGCTAAGAAGAGCATATAGTCTTTCCATGCGAGATATACTGACATTCTCAGTTGCAACAATGACCAAATCCAGCACTTGCTGAAGCAAAAAAATGGAAATGACAATTCAGAATAGCACAAGATACATCCTACTTTCCTATATTGCTAAATAGAAGTGGCATGTCAGAAAACTGATTACATGTCTCAAAAGATTTAACTGGAGGAAGCAAATTAATATTCCACAATTTCCAGAGAAAAGGCTTACATTTCAGAAAGTATTTTCATACTCATCACTATATGGCATCAGTGGTCATATCTGCTAATCAACTACTTCAAGAACAGAAGGGAATGACACGATCCACTTTGTCACACATGGGGAAGTCATGGTTGGATTTCACTAGAAATGCAATACAGGATCATGGAAAATGTGTTTTCAGAAACAAGCCTACAGATCTTCCAGACAGAGCTGTGCCAGATGGAAGCAGAAGCATCCTTAGTTGCTTACCTCTACCCATGAGCTGAATCTGTACTGTGACTAACATCAGTCAGCTCCTACCTTTCAACTCAAGAGTGGATGAACTACCAGAGCAGTCTGTAGGAAATTACCAATCTCTCACAAAGTTCCTTGTGTTACCAAAGATGTGAATGTGGTAATCTGGGGAAAGCAACACTAATAAGAAGCTAGCAGCAGCACTGCTGCAGCTCCTCAGTAGCTGTTTGTTGTGGGAGGCTATACAAATGTGGCTGAAGAGAGCAGCCACACCAAACAAAAATATTACTGCCTCATAACTGCTTGCCGTCAGACTCAGCCTCCCTTAGATCAGCTACTGCAAGATTTGAGTTCTATGCTGAATATCAAACACATATCCAAAAGAAACTTCCAAGAAAAAAAGCAAAATCAACCAAACAAAAACCCCATACAAAACCAAGCAGCTCCATTTTGGAGGGGCTCTCTGGTACAAGTAGTACCAGAATTCCAGTGACACTCATGTTAAGGAAACAAGTCTTCTGAAAGACGTGTTTCATGACCGTGGCTCTCTCCTCACAGTTGAAACATATGAGCAGAAATATCTGTAAAGGCTCTACCCTACCACTTCTCCAGTCAGTAGACAATAACTTCAGATTACATGTCATTAGCATCCAGATTCTAGAAAAACCTATGTAGCTTCTTTAAATATAAAAGCAGACATGAACAACACAACCCACTGAAATTTGCTTCCTTAGGAAGACATTTTGGAAAGTGAATTTAACCTCCACAGTCCAGATCAACACTTAAAAATGTGACAGAAATTGTGCTGATGAGCCCTTTTACCAAAGGGGGTTTTCTCCCCACATAAGGGAAACAACCAAATAATACTTCTTTTCTCATCATGGCAGGCAAACAGCAGCTTTCTCTGCTTTGAACAACCTCCAGGACTTCAACCTAGCAATTTCCTGATTTTTTCTCACAGTTATATTCCCTGAAGAACTGGTCATTCTTCTACCCTCTCCAGTTCATGCAAAGGAACTTCTTTTTCCCCCTGCAGCTAGGCCCATGTTTGATCCTTTCCGCAACTATTCCCCAGGATAACAACTTCTATCCTACAGGGACCTGAAAAAATCGTGTAACACTGTAATTTTTGGCACTGAATTTTGAAAGCATTTGAGAAAAGCAGATGTTAGTATTTTATCTATTGATATCTAGATCTTTTGGCCAACTTTCTAATTTCAGGTTTAAAGTCATCACTGCTAAAACCAAGGTCCTTTTCTAGTTCTTAATTAATGAAAACATGTAAACAGCAAACCAAAATACCCATCTCTCCAGTCCATCATTAAAACTGCTAACTAACAGCAGTAGCAGGTTGACAGGGGGCTATCTTAGAATTTAACAGGCCCTTTTACATTGGAAATTAGGAAGAGAACAGCCTCTGAAAATTCAGTTCACCAAAAGCAAGAGCACGCATCTACACCAGCTGTGGAAACAACAGTCACTACAGGCTGAATTATTTCAAGCTATGAATTGTTTGAATTGGCATTGGTTAACGAGTGACTTAATTGACAACTGTACAGGTAGCAAGAAAACATCCTACTTCAGTATTAACAAAATTGAAATTAGACTTACTCTGAGCTCAGAGTAATTCACAAACACCTCCCGTGCGTGAATATTCTTTTCTTTCCCGTCACATACTCGTGGTTGCTCATCCACCTGAGAATGTCCCACATAAGTTGTATGATGTACTTGTGAATCTGGAATTACACACATTTTTTAAATCAGGATTTCTCATTATCTGGGATACAGTATCAGTGAAGTATCCTGTACTTGGAAAACAGTAGCCCTCTGCAATAAGAGAGACAGAACTGTTACCAATTTTTTTACTGAGAAATGCTTGACTTCTATCTTTCTAGTTTTGCTCTGTAAAAACTAGCAACTCGGACATGAAAAAAAAGCACTAGAGAAAAAAGGCAAGGTAAAACTTAGAAAAAAATATTCATGCTGTCACTACAACACTGCACAGTAAACCTGAAGTTAAAAAAAACAAACATGGTCTTAAAAAACAGTATTTTATGTTAGGAAACATATCCATACATCTTACATTTCAAATATTAGGACATAATTCTTCTATTCCACAGGGGTCTCTGGGTCCACACTGCTTTAAGTACAGCAGTGCAGTTTACACTTAGGCTGCTTATTACTGGGAAGATACTTGTACCAGTATCTTGTACCATTTGGTACCATTTAAAAAACAATCTGCAGAATCAAAGAAAACCAGCCACTGCACAAAACCATGACTGTAGCCAGCATAACTAGAGAAGCAGCATCATTATGCAAGGAACACTGTGTGTTGATTTGAGAGAGACAAAAGAACCAACAAAATGAAATTCAAGAAGGCTAAAACCTAATAAATCGTGTAACACTCCTCAAGAACAAAAAGGAGCTAAATTACCTGTTTGACCTTTTACTTACCATTCAAACCTGCATCTTCAGAAGTTTTGGATATTTGGCAATCCGGCATTTCACTCTCCTCTCTTAAGTCTGAACATTCAGGAAGCACGACACTTTTTTCTTCAGCAGGGGATTTAGCCACAAGGGTCTCTCTCTCGCTTTCATTTTCTGTCCCATTCTGTTGTCCTTGAAGTACATTTTCATGTCCTTCCATAGGACTGTCCTGGGAGGATGCAAACTGAACATTCGCCCTCTTTACTGCGATACTTGAAGAGTCTTCCTTCATTTTCCATTTTCTTTTCAACTTATCTACAAAGAGATACCAAAAAAAAAGGAATCCAAAACATTTCCAAAGCAGTTCTTTCTTCAAAACACAGCAGCAGCATCTTGCAATGAAAATAACCAGAGGAGTTTCAGTACCATCTCCCTACATGTGTCTAGAAAAAAGGCTGCAAGTTAATGAGATCAGTTTTCTATTAGATATATTATAGGCAGGGAAGGGGAAAACACTGTTTCAAGTAACTGAAAACTAGCTGAATATTCAAAACAGCCACAGACAATGTTTTGGACTTTAAGATGGACATTAAATGTCAGTTGGGCCATCAAGGCAGTCTCTTATGATGTCATGCAGCCAGTGCATTTTGAATTCATAACCATACTGAATGAATGACCTCAGGATTTACCCCACAATTTGAAGCAGCATAATGAAAAATTCAATGTCTCTGGCATGAAGAACCAAGCATCACAGGAACCTGCTTTTAGGCCACAGGAACAAGTAAGGTACCAGTGACTTTAGCATCTTCTCCAAGAAAGTCTGAATAAAATGTAACTTGTCATTAGAGCAGGAGGTACTGGTGTCCACAGGCGCTGCAGGCATCTTCCATTTTTGTTAAATTTTGGGTCTGCTTTCTTATAGCCGCAAAACAAAGAATTGTGTCTTGTGTGGCTGGTTACAAAGCATGAGACAAGTCTTAAAATCATCACCAAAAAACGTACCTCTTTCCTTACGAGATTCTTTAATTCTTTGGCAGCGTTGCTCAAAACCTTCATCCATTTCATGCCTCACTATGGAATATGCAGTATCACTCAAAATACAAGCTTTGTGCCTCAGGTGATCTGAAATTTTACAGCCAGAACTGAGTATTTTCTACCAGTCATAGTAGACTATTTTTTTCATAGGCAGGTTCTGAAAGGTTATCTTAGTCAGTATTTTCAGCATAAAAACAGAAAGGTTAAATATTTAAGAAAAAGTACTAGTTACTAATCAACACATCTATTACAATTCCATGCCCAAACAATCTATCTAATGCTAAAACATTTACAACCTGGCAAGAAATGCTGTCTGGGTTTGTTTAAAATTATCTAATGGGGTGGTCTAAAATTATTTGATCCCATATCCACTGTGGGATTACTCCATTTTCACAGATAAAATCTATCAATTTATACATCTGAATTTTTTCCAAATTAAGGCTAAAAAATCCACCCTCACCTGCAGGCCCTCTGTTTGGTTTGTACTTTAAAGCATTGCTACGGATTAGATCGATGTCCTTTAGAAAATCTCTTGCAGTTAAGTACTGGTGCATGTCTATCTTAGAGAGAACTGTCGAGAGGTCCATCGGACGTTTAATAGCAGCCTTGTAACTGGGTGCCTACAAATTAAATATGCATGCTCAGAGATTTAACCCACAAAAATTAATCATGTTCATAAAGTCATATAAAGTAGTTCTTAAGAGCCCCAAATATTTATAACACCCTCAAAGATGCAGAAAATAACCAATCAGCTTCTTGAAAATTGAAAATGTATTTCAGGTGTCTTTGAAGAGACAGACCAGGAGAGGGGGAAGAAGCGTGGTGGTCAGAAGTGTGTGTGAAGCAGAGAGAGGAATTGGCAGGATTCATTTCACTTCCTTTCAGAAAATCACAGCAGAGATACCTTTCTCAGTAATACAACCTTGGATTTTCTTTGCTGTTAGCAGCAAGAAAAAATCTGCAGGATTTCCACCTTTGAAGCACCTGTCCTAAACATCTACTCTAGAATGAGATAAATGGACCCAGAGATGTTGATTTCTTTACTCAGAGCTTAAAATGAGCCTAATGACTACTTTAGATGAGGACATGTATGTGTTAGTAGGTTATTCACATCTTGGAAACTACAAGGAAAGGAGAAGACAAGTGAGTGGATGCTTAGGGGAATGGGACATTTCCAAAATGCAAAGCTATCTTAAAACTACAACTTGACTTTGAAGTACATGTCCCTGGCTTAGATTTATTCAATAAATTCAATGGGAAGTGTACGGGAGCTAGAAAGAAAACCATACAGCCCTTATAGTTGATTATGTACTGAGGAAAGCCCCAGATGAAACTGAGAATAGCATCTAAAAATTTATTTGACAAACTGCTGCTTCTACTCCTGTTGTCACAGAAACTATTGATAATTAATCAAAGAGCTTTAGACTTTATTTAAATGGCCCTATACATACTTTTTGAAAATATAAAGTGATCTCTCTGCTTTTTAGTGCTGTACCACATCTATGTATCCAAGCCCTTCCACAGGCAAATTGTGTTGGCATTCGGTGTAACTGGCACTTGGACTAGATCATCCTTGTAGATTACTTCTAACTAAAATAATCTAAAATTTTAAAGACCTTTTAGAAAGAACATAGTGCTCTCAATGAATACTCAAATAATAAACATTTGAGAACCTCAAGGAGTCAAGTAAAAGCAAAATTCACTTCCTTCTTGGAAAATTAGAATAGTACAGTCCTAGCACCAAAGATAAACCTTCCAAGAAAGAGCACAAAAACACCAAGAAACATAAACACAGAGGAATTATGAATACACACAGTTATAATGGTATTATAAGTCAATAATAACCTCCTCTGAGTCAATGGGCTTTGTAAATGCTTTGAAACGTTTGTCAATGACAAGTCTTTCAGCCACATCTCTTAAATAAATCCTAAGTTCACACAATGTATCCTCTTCCTGCTCTTCTATCTGTCTTATTTCTTCTTCTGTCAGTTTTCGAGGTGGTGGTGATGGTGCTACAGGCAGGACTTCCAAAGGCCGGCAAGCTTAATTGAATCAGAAAATTGAAGTTAATTGATGGTACTCATACACAAGCACATTAAAAATGATTGATAGAAAATTATCACCAAAGCAAATACTGTATTAGTGGTTAACCTAGAGTTAATAAAGTTTTATATGCAGAATATTTCCTCACTTGTCTTGTTTTTTAATGCAGGAGGTTGAGCAGCTTGCTTCATAACTAAGTCCTCAAAAAAATGTCTTCTCTCAACACAGGTAGGACGCGGGATTCTGAAAACTTCTTCATATTCATTATTAAACAATGTTTTTATCTAAAACATGAAGAGAAAATATACTTCAGTTATAGAGGGCCATGCAAACTTCTTATATTCTGTTCCAAAAAAGATGAGTACCTCTCTGAATTAAACTGAATACTTATCTGGATAAGACTATGAATGAAAAGTTATCTTCGTGGCCTTAAAAGACTAGGTTTTTATAGCACGGCAATTCAAAATGCCTTCTCTAAGGATCACCTTCTAGATTTTATGTTCCAGGAAGAAACTTTGTGCTAAACAACTGAGAAAAGGATGACTGGGGATTCACCACCCCCAAGGGTGCTTATTTTGCATTTATGTGCCTTGCTGTCCTCTGGCTTGAATCTTTACGGCAGCTACAAAGGTGTTTGGGCCTTCTCTAATTTTATTTTTAATTAATTTAAATGAAGTGTCTCAATTTGAATACTTCCAATTGTATTCCATTTTTCAATTTCTACTACCAGAAAGTATGGAAGGGATTTCAATCCTTGTTTTAAAAGGCACTTATTAACAGTATGAAAACTTCTGTTACTGAGACAAAACAATCAGAGCAACACAGTCACATTTTGAACACCTTCCTTTAATGCACACTGTCACATGTCTACAAAGCTCAGCATGTCCTCTTGAAGAATTTTGTTAAAGAATACACCTAAAAATTTATTTCCAAGTTGCGTAAACAGCAACTTAGCTTTCTAATTTGTTACATTTTCACCCAGATGAAGAAAGTAATTCAATTTATTAAAAGATAATTTAAATTTGAAATAACATTCCATCATTAACAGTGTGACCTCTGTATTTTTTCAGCAAAAATACCTCTGACTTTTCAGATAAAATGTTTCCAGAAAAACAGGGATTTTTTCCTAGCTACCTTTCAAGCACCACATTCTTCACAAAGGACACACCTAACCATCCTGAAACCATGAAAATCATTGTCTGAAGCAAGTCCATACATCTGTCTAATAAAGTAAGCTTGAGTATGTGAGAAGGGCAACAAAGTTGGGTCAAAGTCAATCTCTACTCAGAAAACACTTTAGGCAATTGCTTTCAGCATTGTTTAGTCTTAGCAAGTTTTAAGGGACTGGGTTTGGATGCCTGAGTAATAACTTTGAATTTGCTTAAGAGTGGCATGTAACTCTAATGCTTCAGGGAGTTATAAATTAACAAGAAATTGAGTAATGAAGGAAGAATACTATTGACTGAAATACCTCTTCTGGGAGATCTCTCAGTTGTACATTAGATGTTGCAAGGAGTAAAACTGGAGTAAACCTTGGGATGCTCTGCAGTAGTGCTATAAAAACAGATCTCAGTGTAGGTCCAACAGTGTCCCACCATGAGGGAATTTGTGGGACATATAGGATACTCGGTGCTGATCTTTGAGCTTCTCGCATCAACTGGTAAAATGAAAGCTTGGATAAGAAAACTACATCATGTAGAACAGACTACTAAATAACTACAAATCAGTCAAATTATATTATGAAATAGGAGGTATAAAGGCAAGACATCAAGACAGATCAATAAATGAGTCCATAATAATGAGGTAAAATTTTCACTTTGATTCAAATGTAGACATTTTTATGCAGACAGAAACAGACCTGAATCTCTGCCTGATTTCAAAACTACTGAGGTATAAGGTAACTCCTAAAGAGCCTATGAACTCAGCTAATGTAGTGGTGTGCCTGAAAAAAAACCAAAGCTAACTCTTCAGAAAGGTGTAGTGGCTTGGAGAAATCACTACACAGATGCATCGACACTATTTTCAGTTCAGTAGGGACACACACCCTGAAGAACAGTCTGAACAAACAAAGGCCTATGTGAAAAGATGAGGGTTAATACAGCATAAGATGCCTGGCTATAATTCATAACTTCAAGCACATTTTCTAAGAGGTAACCAGTCCTTAGACTGTCTGAAGAGCTAAATCACTCACTGCCTCTCATTACCAAAGGTGGGCTTTGGAAAGCCACAAGCCACTGCCAACAGATGGCACCTCAATCACAGAAGACAACACATATCTACTGCATGAAGGGTGTGGAACAGTCCTTTCACACAACAAATGTCCCCATGCAACATTTCAGATTAACAATATGCAAAGGACTTGCTCCTTTTATGTGACAAATGAGTATCCAATCACATAGTATGTCTGCTCTAACATGTACAGCTCTCAAATGCTGCTACTAGAGATCAAAATATTTTAATGTAGTGATGGCAAAAAACGAAGTGGGTTTACTGCCCAAAAGTAAATAAGCAAAACAGCACTAAACTGCTTATATTTCCTTTTCCTAGTTAATGAAAACTCAACATGAGACAAATCTAAGTACTCCATGAATTTTAACACTTTTGCTGCAAGTACTGCAGCAGTAAAAGCTGTAAATGTATATGTAAAAAAAAAACAAACCAAACAAACAAAAGAATTATTTTCCTCAAAACCTTGTCTGCCCTACAAACATAATTAAAAAAGAGACTACAGAATATGAATTGACATGCTGTGAGGTGGATGCAGAGCCATCTACTGGTAGCACAGAGTCTTTAGAAGTAACAAAAACACTTTCTAAATCCCACATGAGACCTGAAGGATTTCTTGCCACATAGAGTAGTTTATTAGCAGCACTTCTCATCTTCCTGAGCTGCTAGTAATATTCTCCCTGTTACATTTCAAATGGAAAAATGTATAAAATCCTTAAGTGGCATCATTCCATCAGAAAAGTGGATTTTTAGACAAAAGTAAACAAAGCTGCACATTTGAATCAGGACACTTAAATACTGACAATGATTTTTGCTTACTTCACTAGTTTATACACTAATCCTATGAGATTAATGAGAAAAAAAGCTACCTGTACACATGTTTCATCTGGTGATGTGCTAGCAAACAAAGTTGGTGTATCTAGTGTATAAATTGGAAACTTTTCCAGAGAATGTATTACTGCAGCTGCCAAATCAGAAGCTTGCCCAGATCCTGGCTCTTCAATTAGTAAGAACCGTGGCCTGTAAGATGTTGGATGGTCACGAGGATTTCTACAGCAATAATAAGAAGAAAACTAGTTTAAAAATGAGTGATGAATAGGAAAACAGACATTAAAGCTTTTTCCTATGCACTTTGTTTTGTAAATATTCTCCCTGTTCCACAAAATTATAAACTAGTTCATGAACAGGAAGACTATCAAAGCCTATTTTCTCACAAACTGGCACTCTGCCTCTGCTAGAAATCCTGCCAGTCTCCGGCATGTCTTCTACTCTTTTGTCTGGGTTAAGTAACAGCTCTTAAATCCCACAGTGGGACTGTCCAGCCAAATACCCACAAAACAGTTCAGTTTGATGGGTCAGGGTAGTGTACTCAGAACAGAAGTAACCAGTTGAACCTTAACACTTAAGTCTGGCAAATATTTATCAGCCCCCCCACACACACTTTCAAATCCTTCATCTAGCATCCCTCACACCAAAACAGTTTACACACTCAGCCATATTAAACAGAGCCATGACAGGGACAAATGTACCTGCTGAAATTGCGGAATTCTGCCTTTTTGCAATCAGGTGTTTCATGACTCGGCTTCTCTTCAGAGATTGATGGTGACTCCTCATCACTGTCAACCACATAATTTCCTAAAATAGGATTTAAAGAGAAGAGAGGTTTGTTAACTTTCCTGTATAGTCCATCTCTCTCTTGTACTCATACATCTTCAAAACCAGTGCTGCAAAATAATTCTCTTGTATTTCATCATTTGAATGCTGTTTTCTGAAGAGTTCATTCTACCACAAATCAAAGGAGAATGCATAAGTCTCTACAAAGCTGTCCTATGTCACATGATTTGCATCAGGTATTATCTCTCTGTTGACAAAAACTTTTGAGTTTTTCTCCTTAGAATAAAGATGGTTACAAGCAAATTATGTAGTTCCCAGATACCTGAAAAACATTTTTCCTTCTTTAAGCATTTATTTGAAAAGAGGTGCTAATAATTTAAAGATTCCTCTCTACAAGTGATAAATGTGGTGTTAACTCCTGTCAGAAATAGGTGCTCCAGCAAAGAATGCACAGTTTCTTGACTGCCTTTGCAAGTCACTCACAGCTCCCACCCTGCACTGAGCACACACAAAGTATAAAATTGTGCTGCCAGTTCAGCTGAGTACGTTTGTGTATGTTGATTGCACAGATCACAAGCTTTTGCTCTGGCAGATTTTTAAACAAGTGGATGTAGATGTTATACCTTGATGGTGGTCTCTCTTTAGTGCAAGCTCTGCATGGGGAAATACTCTCTGCAAGGTTTGTAAAATCCTTTCCAGTGTGTTTTCTAACAGTGGCTTTGAAATAGCTGATAGTGCTCTCCCAGGAGAAGGCACGACCCTCTGTGAAGCTGGAACAGTCTTCATCATAGCAATGGAAAAATAATTTGCTTTTATTTTAACTGAATCCATGTTTATCTGCAGTCTCTCTCTGCTTTGATATAGCTGAGGATAGCGATGCCGCAAAGCACAGAGACCAGTTTCAGCACATAAGGCTTTAATATCAGCACCACAGTATCCTAATAAACAAAACAAGAATCAAATGTTATGTCAATCTCAAAACAGAATTCAATACCATTACTTCTAAAGTGCAACACTGAAAGACTTTCATGCAGCCAAATATTACCAGGCTAACAGATAATTTAAAGAGTTACTGTACTGAGTTACACAGAACAGGAAAGTTGTTACACAGCTCACAGCCTGATATCCTGCACTTAGGTAGCAGCCTGCTGGTCAAAACTTTGTCCCTGGGAAAGATGTCCCAAACCCATTCAATGTTTTGAGAGACAAAGAGAAAATTGAAAGCTGTGCCTAAATTTTCTCACATGCCAAATGCCTTCTCACTGCCTCTATCTGCCACAAGGTACAAGAGCTTGAGTACTGCCTGGAACAAGCTCAGGTTCCCTAGGACTCAAGTCACATGTTGTAACCCACAATGTTTTCAAACTCACCAACACATTCTTCAGCCAGCACTTCAAGTAAGTTGTCTGACGGCTTTGGGTTCCAGTCACGTGTGTGAATTTTGAAAATTTCTTTTCTTGCCTGAAAACAGTTGCATGTCAGCTTGCCCTAAGTTTTCTCTTAAAAGAACAATGACAACACAAACCCACAAAACCCCGTCTACCAATACAAATATTTTCCTTATCTGCTTAATCTTTTAGTATTTTAAAGGTAGTTACTAATACACTGTCTGCTTCTGAACTTGTTACATTAAACTCTTGCTGGGGGCTGCAGTAAAGTGAAAGGCATTTACATTTTCCATAAAAGTGAGTTTTTCCACATTTAAGACCTAATGATTATAAAAAAAGCATTGCAAAATCCATATCTGCAAACAGAAATTTTTTTTTCATCAAAGAAAAATCTCTCAAATTTAGCAAAATTTCATGAAGTATTTCTTGGTACAGAGATTAATTACAGCAGACTTCTAGAACTCTACCATAGTAGGGAATCATGTATTGTATCTTTTTAATGACACCTGATCTACTGCTCCTGAGAGCAGATGAAAATTGGAGAAAAACGTTTGTGCACTTTTACCAGCTTTCATTTCAATAAGCCTTTTTATCCTTTTTCCAAGCAGGGTAAGAAATATCAGAGACAGCCAAAGAGAAAATACAAAAAAGAGGTCTTCAGTTTTGCATGCTATCTTACCCCCTTCGATATTTTTTGGTTGCTAAATATCCATTTTTATATTGCTTAACTACTGTCATTGAACTAGAAGCTTCCCAAGCCCTGCACCTGTGCAGTATCCTTCACATCTTTGTCCAAGTCCCTGTCAATAACTTCCAGTAAGATCCCAACATACTTAATTTGCTCTAACATCTGCCTTGATCAAAGTTTTTGCTACCAAGGAGGAATTCCCTCACCCTTTCTTTTATTTTCAAGATGATATATATATATTTCCAAGATGATATAAAGGGGTAGTTTATAACTAATTAATATACCCATTCTTTCTTAAACATTTCAGTTATCAACATCTCATTTTCTTCACCAGTCACAGAGAAATCAAAGCTAACTAGAGAATTAACTACTTACTGAAATCACCCTAATCATATATATTCAGTGCCAGGTCTGCCATGAACAGTACAGTGCAATTTCTCCAGATATCCCTTTTTGTGTCCCTACAGATTTTGTCCAAGCTGTACACTATGGATGGAGACTTGTGCTGCTGCACAATGCTGCTATATTACAGAGGTTTGTTTGAAAGATGGACTTTGCAACATAAGCCTAAGGCTGAGTGGAAGTTCTGACCTCTTTGTTTGGCAAACTGAAGCGGAATTCTCGTTCAAAGCGCCCAGGTCTTCGTAAAGCAGGATCTATAGAATCCAGTCTGTTGGTGGCTCCTATTACCACAACCTCTCCTCTGCTGGCTAAGCCATCCATAAGTGCCAGAAGTGTCCCCACAACAGAGCTAACAGAAAAATATGGTTTTCATTTACTGGCTTAATAAATTTTCTTCAGTTACACATAACCTTGTCCAATGATCACTCAAAAAGGACAAGTTTTTATTGATGATATGCTGTTCAGCAGAAGACTCATTTTAAGTCATAATAAAATACAGATAAGGTAATACAGACATTTTGCTGATATCAAGCTCAGCAAATTGTTTTCAATTACTGCTTAAAAATCTCTGAGATTCAATTGCACGGAATTACTAATTTTCAACAAAAATGAATACATACATCACTTGAAGTTAAATAAATTGCCATCTTTTTTTTCACAAAGATCAAGCAGCTTCTATGCAAATATAAAACATGTTCTACCTATGAATTTGGTCTTGTTTATCGGACCGTACGGGAGCCAAAGCATCAATCTCATCAAAGAAAATAATTGAAGGTCGCATCTTGTAGGCCTACAATGAAAACACAGGAATACTGACATCAGGAAAACAGCCCTATTTGAAGAGAAAATACATGAAAAAAGATCACATTTGGAAAGGCACTAACTAGATTTTTCAGACTCTGTTAATTGAGCTAACACAGTAAAGTGGCACAAGTAACCGAAGACAGCAGCCTAATGTCAACCCAAGGAGACTGGGTGACAAGAAACAAACCACACCAATAGTTTTTTACATCTACCTGGCAACCACAAGAATAGAGACAGGACTCAGCTGAGTTACAGGTTCTGGACGCAACCCTCTGTTACCAGTCTAAATGACCATGCTTTCAGCTTGCATCTCTTTCCCTCTAATCTTAAGCCAGCCCCTCTTACTTCTTGAAATGTTTTTTGAGAATTTTTGGGAGGTTTTTGGGTTTGTTGTTTTGGGGAAGAGGGGGTAGTAGTGGTGGTGCTTTGCGGGATTTTCTTATTTCCTTTACTGACCTTTCCTAATACATCTCAAGATCCCAAGCCTCTAAAACTTTACTGAAAAAGGAAACAGTGGCAATCCCATTTCAGTGAAAGGAGCTGAAAAAACATGTTGTAGACCATAGAATATTAATTCCAACTCAGAACACATGGCACATTTCAACCTTACCTGCTCAAATAATAAACGAAGCTGTCGTTCAGATTCTCCTATCCATTTACTCAGGCACTCAGCACCTTTTTTCATAAAAAAGGTTACTCTCGTGTTACCTTGACTGCATTCATTAGCAAGTGCACGAGCAAGCAGTGTCTTTCCCGTCCCTGGAGGGCCATAGAATAGACAGCCTCTGCAATTTAAAAAAAAAAAAGTAAAAAAAATTCACATAGGAAAAAAACATGGAAAAGCACCTATTACAAACCCCATCCTTAAAACACACAACTCTGCTCTCCTAAACAAAACACCTCATGGATAAGATAGCAGCAACAACTGAAGTATGAGCAAAGTCAAAAGCTTTCCTACACAGTTCTTCAAGGAAGCAAACAAAATCAGTAAAGAGGATAATGCAGAAGTACAAAACCTTGATTAAAAACTTGCAGCATTCCAAAAAGACACTTTCAAAACTTCTGACAATCCAGCACGGGTGATTGGAGCCAAACAAGAGCAAGCTTCCAGTGCAGAATCTGAGACTAGGCTAACTTAGGAATTATTCATTTTTCAATGATGCACTCCATATTCATTCTTGTTTACATATAAGGCAAGATTTTATAGTAAAACATTTGATTGTCCTTTGAAAAATTTTGAGTTACTGGAATTCCCTTTGCTGGTAATAAAGGAAGAAGTATTCTAAAGCTGGAAAGATATTCTGCATTTCTGCATTTACATCAACTAGAAAAGCCAGTACACTGCTGCTTCAAAAAAGAATTTCAATGAATTAAGAAGCAAAGCACAGAAATATTTTCTTTCTATTTTGAAATACTCTTGAAGTTACTGAAGGCAAAGAATTTTAGGTCCTAGTTCAATATGCCATGACTGAGTTTTGTTGACCAAGAATATATACAGCTAACAATTAAATCACTGATTTTTAAATTTTTTTTGAACACAGAAGCCACTTAGCTGTGTACAAAGAGGACAGATTCTAATTTTAGCTCAAGCAAAACAAACACTAGAAGTTTTGAGTTGCATATCCTATCAGTTGTAAAACTAATACCTGAGAACTTAAAAAACAAAAAAAAGAGCTGGCGGCAGAGACAAGTGGACTTTTGCTAAATAAACATTTGACTTCAAGTAGAAAGTATTTGCTGCTTACAAACCAATCAAGTCCACTTCCATATAGAGCTTTAAAGAAAAAATCCCCAACTCCACCTTTGAAAGGCAAGACATTTTGAAAGGATGGTCTCACCATACAATAAATCTTTGGATCTACATATATACTGGATTCCACCAATTTTTTTTTTAAATTACATTTTACTACTGTTAAAAAAATAAAATCAGCACTGCTGAGAATTTTGAAGCATTAAAACATATTGGTGCCCCAGTTGAATTCTCCTGAAAATAGGCAAATTAGAACTTAGAGTTTAATTAACACAGTATCTGTTACCTTGGAGGTTCAATTTTCAATCTCTCAAAGATTTCAGGATAAAGCAATGGAAAAATGACCATCTCTTTTAAAGATGAAATGTGGTCAGAAAGACCACCCACGGCATCAAATTGTACCTAAAGTCAACAGAACATATTTTGTGTGTTAAAGAAAGCTTCAGCCTTGATAAGGTTCCATGAGAAGCTTGATTGCTTGAGAGAAAGCTGCAAACCAAGAGAGTTGTAGATGGCCCATTACTGGAAGCTTTCATAAATACTGCAAACATCTTACTGCCACGATGAATCAAAAATACTTACTGAACCATCTATTTGCATGTGCTCCACACCAGCCAGACTTCCTTCAATTTTCACGGTATCCTTGTCAACCCCCGTTGAGGCAAACTTCTGAAAGCTGACCAGAAGAGATCTGATTCGAATTAAGGAAAAAATGTGCTTTCTAACTTACAATGCAGATAGAAGATTTTTGATTTTCTAATGATAGCAAGTGAATGCAGAAGACCTTATAAATCAGCATGAACTTCCTAAATAGGTAAATCTTCATTCCAGTGTTTTACATTTAATGGCTATGAGTAGATAAAGGAAAATGGTCACTCCAGACATTAAATTGAGTTAATTATTTTAACAATAGCACTTATGAATATCCAAGCCAGTCAACACAGCACATATAGGAATACAAGCTTAGAACAATATGTGGAAACCATGCACTGACCTTGATTAGTATGATGGAAGAATTTCTCCCCCTCTCAAACACACTGACATCTTTCAAATAGTTTTAGCTTTTATGTTCAAAAAGTTACAACCCAGGAGAACACTTACTTTAGTGGGTGTTAACATTATAAAGGCTGATCACAACTCCTGGGAACTTTGGAATGTGTGTGCCAGAAGATACACATCTGAAAGATGTCAGGCTGAAAATTTGTTAGACTCTCATTTGTTGGAATGTTATTAAATTAATATCTCTAGAGCATTTGTTAAGTAACAAAATCTATTTCCCCTACTTAGAACATTTTCTCTTGTAGAAATTTTGTTTTGAAAAAACAATGCTAAAGCACAGAAGCAGTGAAGTTCTACATCAAGAGAATACATCAAAGCGTCTATCTCTAAATTTCCTCCCACTCTCACCTAGAAATCAAATTTCTTATTAAAAGTCAGTTCCAGAAATCCAGTTTTAGAAACTCCAAGTACAGTTGTCAATACCAACAGGTATGATTAAATATTGCCCCAATTTAGAAAGGGTACAAGATGGAGATGGCAACACTTCATAGTTAGGCATATGCAAAGTCCTCCCAGATACACTCCTCCCTCCCCTATTCTATAATTTCATTAACCTCCTTATATTTCTCTTCTTGTTCGGTATTTCAAAATCCTCCTCATCATCATCATCATCAGAACTGGAAAGGGAATCACTGCTGGGGACTCCATATCTCTGTCTGCAAACATTCAAACAAGTAAAAAATTAAAATGCACTCTTAAGTAACCAAAATTTAAGTGAACACTCTCTCAGAGTTTACTTTGAAATCTAGTAAGTTTTCAGACCATTGGAAATTTTATCTGATTTCAAAGCACATTATGTAATTTTCCTTGTGACAGCAACATTTAATTTTTCTTAGGAAGGTAAAATGTATCACTAGTGTGCAAAGAAACTTCTTAATCAAGTTACTCCTTTTGTCCAGTCTCTCTGACACACAAATCAAGTTTCACTTAGCATTATGCAGCCACTCTGTGAAACATTTTAAACTTATTTAAAAATTTGACTTCAAAACCCCTTCATTACATAATTGTCGGCTTTCAAGGATACTAAACAAAGTGTTCCTATCTAGCAAGGGAAGGCACTCTCCATGCTCTGTTTAAATGATTTGACACTCCTTTGTCGTTACTATTGCAATACATAAATTAGGATTTCATTTAACATTTTTCTGATTTAAGGATAGTTTCATACAGAAACATTAACTGATTCCCAAGAGACATCAGAACCAGTGTTTGAGTGATATAAAAAAAAACAAAAACAACCCATTAAAACTTCCACACAGGCTCTCCCTCTAAGTAAACTGTCTTTAGTTTTAAGAAAATGACTTTCATCTCTCAAAATTAAATAGTCTAAGGTTTTCAGAGGGAGACTCTGGCTTCAGTTACAAAACAGATTAATTTCAGTTACACAGTCTCAGCCACAACCCTCATCATCATGTTATCAGTGGCCATAAATATTGCATTTTCAAATAAGATCTGAAGGCTAGTAAAAAGAATGGCCTACCCCTGCCAGTGTTTGTTTACTTTATATTCTCAGACTACCACAGTAATAATCATACTATTTATCTGTAGTTGCCACCAGTCCAAAATTCCTTGAAAGCATTATTGAGAAACTACTGAGAAACAAAAACTATCAGCCATACACAAACCTTTTATTCCTTTTGCATGAATTTTTCTCTGAGATAGATGAAGATTGGACTGAAGAATCTGTCTCACATTTTTTAGGCTCTGCTGAAAGCAAAGAATTTAGAATAATGTCACAAACAAGTTAAAGATAAAGCAGGATAGTCAGAGGCAGAAAACGGGACGTGTATCACCCATCTCCAAGTTCAGGGGAAGTTTCAAGGCAGGCAGGGTTAATCAGTGCACAGAAGTGAAAAAACATGCAGCTGATTTTTAAGGAAAACTGTTAAACATATGAGTAAGATTATAAAGTCTCTTTAATTCTTTCAACACTGGATAGGTCATTTTCTTACTGGAAAACAATAAGGATCCCAAAAAGAAAAAATTAATAAAATGTGCACAGGATACATGTTTAAGAAAAGTTACTGGCAGAATGAAGGTAAGAAATTTAAATTTGAGTGTATGCATATATTTCCATTAAAAAAAAAAATTGTTTCCATGCAAGAAATTAGCTCTTAAGAGCTAATAAGTGCCTTTAGGTGCCTAAAACCTACTTTCCAATGTATCTGGTAATCACTCAACAAAGCAAAGCATTTTTCCTTTTGGTTCACTTCCTTATGACGAAATTACTGCACACAACATTAAACTCTTTAAGTACTGTTGCAAATAATGATATATTCAAAATGTGCTACATGACAGGTATTCCCACCTGTCCACAGCCTTTTATCATGCATGTGTTTTGGAAAAACACTGGGGTTTGAGCCTTTTTTGTCTGAATACCTTTGAGCTCTTTACCAGTACTGCCCTAAAATCTGTGGCTATGGCTTGTAATGTCAAAAGAAAGAGATTTTTTTAATAGATGAAAAATACCCAGTAGTTCAGTCCATCTCAACTGATTAATAAGAAGCTTTTGTCTAGGGTATAGTCAAGCAAACTTAGAACAGAAATAGCCTACAATGCTACCTGGATTGTCAGCTGTTTCTTCACCCGTTGTTTCCATATCTAGATTTTCCTGTTTAAAAGAAACAGGAAAAATCAGACACAAACATGCAGAAAACCTGTGGGCATATCTGGTGCCTTTAGAGTATCATTTTCAAGGTACTCCATAAATACAAAAGATTAAATTAACACACAGAAATATACAATAGGACCACCACTGTGGAACTCAGGACTAATAACAAGGATTTCTACTCTAAAATAGGGTTTAGTAGATGGGAAACTTGAAACACTTGGCCAGATATAAAACTGACTGTAACAATAAGTCACAGATTAAGTATCCAGGAGTGTGATAAAAACCAGGACAAAGCAATTCTTAGTAAAAAAAAAATCATACTGGCATTTTAGTGATGATTTAGAAAGTACAATTGTCAATTCTGGTTGAAACAAAACAAAAAGGAATTCATATCTGACAAAAAACAACTATGAAAGCAGGCTATGGATATGTTTAAAATACAAAGTACCTGGCATTCAAGAGGACAGTGGACTAACTTGATTTCAGTTAATTGAAAATTTATTTAATTAGCAAAATTTGCTAATTTGATTTAATTGAGAAAAGCCAAGTCAGAGGAAATATGATTGATTACTGTCTATAATTTTACTGTGAGTTCCGCCTGGGACAGGGGACTACTTGAGCTCACAGGCAAGGCTGGCACAAGAATAAACACAGATAAAGCAGGTATCAGTCAATTCACTTTTTAGTAAGATTTGAATGAAAACCCAAGCCCTGAGACAGCTCTTGGTAAAATGCTGGGGGTTTTATTTATCCATTCAAAAATCCTAAGGCAATTCAGCAAGCATAGTATATGATGTGTTTCAGCATATCACTACTCTTTCATGTCTTCTGAAGACGGTATTTCCTCCACCTTAGAATGTAGCTGTGGCATGACTGTAACAGTAAGATGTTAAATTACAATTAGAGAGCATGAATAAAATATTAGTTTAGACTACACTATGCTTTGGAAAAAGGGTTTTTTTTCCAAATTAAATTAAAATGATAACTAAGTAATTTCTTTACAGTATGTACTTCTTCTGCGCCGTGGAACACCCCACAGTTTCCCATTCTTTGCTGTCTAGGTGTCTTTTCCATGTCATCCCTTTTTTTTGCAAGACTGCTTCTGCAATACTAAGACACAAAGTTGACGTGTAAGAGCAAAGACAGGTGAGTACAAAAAAACCCCACTGAAAACAACATACATAGTCAGCATGTTATTTTAATATAGTGTGCACAAAGCAAGTCATGGACACTTTGCCAGGTTTTTCAACACTAAGTAAAAACTGGGTCAAATGTCTAGTTTTTTATATAGAGGATTAAAAACAAGTGTTTGAGGATTTGCAAACATACATTGTTTTCAGTTAATTTTCCCTTCTTGCTAAACACACAGTACAAAAAGAATTTAATTTAGTAGGAAAAAAAAAGAATTTGGAAAATCACAGGAAGATAACAAAAAGAAATTATGGCAGTTTTTCATAGCACTTAAGTTGCTCAGCATGATGGCATTAAGTGATTTTTAGTTCACAGCCATCCTCAGACAACAGGTTGCTTAGTCTTCTCTTAAATGGAATTAAGGTCTCATGCTGATCTTCCATGAATATGTATGTTAGAAAAAAAAAATATCTCCCTGCTGATATACTTTGAAAACCTTTCAGAAAACAGTATCAGTTTGGGCTTCAGTTTGGGCAGAGAGAATTAAGTCACAGACACACAAGCAGAAAGGCTAAGACTGCTTCACTTTGCTTGTATCCAACTTTCTGCCATTTCATTACAGGACATTATAAAATTATTCACAAGCATGAAAGGTAAGTTAATTAAACATGAAGGCAATTCTTGTGCCGAGAAGATCAATTTAGAGGGCAAGTTAAATCTACTGAAAGTCACAACATGAAATGATCATTTCAGTTCACAAGGAGCCAGCCCATATATAAAAGATGCCCTGGCGTGAAGATCTCTCTACAACTGACAATCCCAAAAGGAAGACACCCATGGCCAATTTAAACATTGGCTGTGTCCAAAATCTTTACACGTGAAGCACCTGAAAAATACATCCTCCTGTGCACAGTCTTTGAATTGTAAATCTTTAGCCAAACCACAAGCAGAAGACCAACCTCACCACCTAACCAACTGCAGTGGAATGTTTATGGAGTGTTTGTCAGGTTGCTCAGCAGTGTCCCCTCAAAGTTCCAAGCTTGATCACGTTCAACCCCCAAGTGAGACTCTAGTGTGGAGGGCACCTGATGCCCAACACTTGGCAATCACAAAATGGCCTGGGTTAGAAGGGACCTCTAGCGACCATTTAGTTCAACACCCCTGCCATGGATAAGGACACCATCCACTAGGCCAGGCTGCTCCCAGCCTCATTCAGCCTGGCCTTAACACTTCCACAGGTGGGGCATCCACAGGTTTCCTGGACAACCTTATCACCCTCACAACAAGGACTTATACATAGTGGCACGTAGGGAGGTCTCAGCCCAAACAAAGCATGTGTTTACCACTTGCTGCCAGGAGCAAAAACATCTACCTCTGCTGACAAAAGGAAGTCTCGAGCCAATATTATGCCTGGCACAAAGGCATGCTAATAAGGCTCATTTTAGTACCGCTTCATGATGAAAAAAAACCTCAACTTACTTTGCTCTACAATTGCAAAACAAAATAGACTGATTTATAGTGGTGTAAAATTTCGTTGAAGTCTACAGCTTCAATTGATCCCTACATCCCGATTTTCTTCATCCTTTTAGCAACCAGTATTACAGAAAATATAATGTGAAGATGGTTTGATAGGATTATATAGTGGGTTGATCTTGGCCAGAAGCCAGGTGCCCACCAAGCTACTCCCTGGGTGACAGGGCAGAGAAAATACGATGGGAAACAATTAGTAGCTTGAGATAAGACCGTTTACCAAAGCAAAAAAAGAAAAGCTAAAGTTTGTGCAGCTCAGCAGTAGCCAAAGCACAGGTGTGACTGCTGTGGAAAAATAAACTCTATCTCAGCTAGACCCAATACAGATTACTTTCCATAAACACAAATGAATTTGCATTAATTCTGCTATTCACTTTTAATCATTTATTGATTAGTTTCATATTAGCTGTTGCATTATTTTTCCAAGTATTTTTTTATTTCTTCTGTACAGTGGCTGGGCTTTGCCTATGATTTTTTTTTTGTTTTTATAAAGCAGTCAACACACATGGAGTTAACATGATGTATAACTAAAAGTAATTTTTAAAAATAGGCCTGATAATAAAACTTTTTTTAAGCTGTGTTTTTAAGGAGACAAAAAACAAAAGAAAGGTAATGCAGACACACATACAAATATTGTGACAGGAAACAAAAAAAAACAGCAGCTAGGGAGGTTACATGTCAAACTGGGCCAGTACAGTACTGAAAAAAAAAATCCACACTTTATCTTTATTTGTTGTGTAGTTGAACTTATAAAATATGCAAAATATTGAAATAATATATATAAATACATAAAACATAAATATAAAAACATAATATATAAATATATAAAAATGAAAATATGCAAAATAATTAAAATATTATTAAGTCACAGGAAAAAATAATTAAAAATATAAATTAATGTCTGATGTATTCTAGAACTAAAATAGTCACATTTTTATATAATATTTTCTGCAGTATGTTCAAAGCAGCTGAGATCCACTAGTGTCACTGAAACAAGCTGTAATATTAAAATATTGAAATGCCCTTGGCTACAGTAGTTAATATTAGTTAAAATATTGAATTCTGTTCTTCATAATTAGTGTTTGAAAATCTGGAATGATCCAGGAATAGGAAAACTTTATAAATTAAATTCTGCATTTGCTTCTTTGCGATTTCACATTCAAAAAAAAACTCATGCCAAAGAAAGGCTGCATTAAGAGAGTATCAGTGACTCATTCAGGAGATTAGAAATATCTGAGATTGCTTTTATTATGTTAATTAATGTCAGTTGTATGAATATCTTTTCAGGTCATTTAATGAGAGGGATTTTTTTAGAAGATTCCCATCTCACTTAGATCATGGAATAAGTGAACAGTTTGTGCTGAAGAAGACACTAAATGTGAGGTAGCCAATCCCTCATTTGCTTTAGATGAGTAATCTGATATAATGAATAAGGTAGGATTTACAGAAAAGTTGTCAGATTAAGGAATTTGAGTACTGCCAAGAAAAATTCAAACTTCTCTTTCTCTATAAAATCCAAGACCATACTGGAATAATTTAAATCATTATTTTTAAAAATTGTCATTAATTCTGTTTTCCTCATTTTCTATACCCTGTTTTAAATCCTCCCAGCTTGGGTTGTGGAAATTTAAAATCTCGTTGTTGTAATTTAACATTTCATACACTTTAGATCATAAAGGAATTGCAGCTATCCACAGTCAGAAGTTGAGCTCTAGGATACCTGCTCTTCATCTAAACCAAACTGACTGAGATAACTTGTCCTTCTTTCCTCTTTTAGTACTCTTGGAACTTAATTCTAGAGGACTATAAACAATCTAAAGTTATGAACCACTATGAAGTACCAAGGCATGGTATTTCATACCTTGAAATAGGCAAGGCTATGGTCCAAGGCATCCAAAGTCAGTGAATAATTATGGCTATACTTCCTTTGTTTCCATCTAAAACAGCATGGATGGATCCATGAATACACTTTATTTTGTATTACATTTTATTGGGACTTTCTAGTTCCCTCATATGTTTAAACTGCTAAATCTCTCAATTCAAAGTTTGTAGGTTTAACAGATACATGCTCCAATTACCCAAACATACCCCAACATATGTATTCACTAGGTACTGAACAGTTCACAGAACTAGTGTATAAACAAGCTCAATCAGATAAAGAAACTGCACATCCAGTTGAGCAACTTTCCCCTGATGCTTGCTTTTTCTACAGCACAATATTATTGTCACATACACTTTTTGTTCCTTATGAATTTCATTTCTATTTCCATGTTAATATACGTGCTTGAATAAATTATTTCATAAAGATCACCTGAAAATCTGTGGTGCTGCTAAGCACCATCTGCATTTATAAATCCCTGGTAGGTGCTTTGGTCACAATAAAATCTCTCCTTGATTTTATTACTCAGTAGAATTCAATTCTTAAAATATTACTGCTGGAAAACTTTGTTGAGTCCTGTGATTTTTTTAATTTAAATAGCAAGAGAAATGTTTTTTCCAATAGCAATATTGAAGGAAATTACAGATTGATTCTTATCCTGCTTTTAGCAGGATCCAATCTCCAGCTCAGCTTCTCACTTGTACAGACTTTACTCCCTACAGAATTTTAAATGTTCTAAATTTCACTTCAAATTTTCATTCTGTGTGCATTACCACCTGTGAGAAAAGGCATTTTCTTCTCGTACTTGTTTTCATTTGTGCTAAGTCAAATCTCCTTAAATGTTCAGTTTAATGTTCAGTTCGTTCCCAGCTTTACAGAACAGTACCCAATAATTTGGGCAGCTATGAATAAAGTCTTTATCCATCATTCTTATCCTTATTTTCTTATACATCAGTGCATTGAATGTTCTAGCAAGAACTTTTCCACCAATCCAGCAAACCAGAGCACCACTGTGTAAGGAAGATGTTAGGCTGGGGCCACCTACTGGTTGTATTGCTGAGCTTTCATCGACAAATTTGAAAAACTGCTTTACACATGTAATTCTATTACAGTTATAAAAACAACAGCATATATTAATAGATTAATCACCTAAAGTATGTGATGTTTCTTGTGCAATGGCTCTTTGCTTTTAAGATTAAATACTGCATGAACTTAATATGGCCCAATTATCAAAAGAAAAAAGAATTTATTGTGCTTCCATAAACAAAATAAAACAGGGAGGAAAAAGGGGCCTCCTACTTCCCAATAACACCAAAAATAAAATGAAGAATAAAGTAACATTAATGCTAATATTTAAACAATTTAGTAAAGTAATCCACATATCTTTGGTAGTATTGCTATGATGAAGAGGGCAAGTCATTCTTATTGCCTTATTTAATGCTGTGTAAAATTTCATCCTGAATTTGTATATGTTGTTCTGAAATAGCTAAATGCTAAAATGCATATTTTTGGTGGATTAAAAAAAATCTGTCATTTTTATGATGTTCCTTAAAGATTCTTACTAAAAATAAATTCAAACCAAAAAAAATTTAGCAGATGAACACTTTAGAAGACTAAAGCTTTTTAAACTGGAATTTCTAATGAATGAACCAAGAATAATCCAGACTATTGAGTCTGGAGACTAAGTCTATTGATATAATGATGCTGTTAAGTATGTATTAACTCATTTATTATTTTATAATACTGATAATTATTTGTGTTGTAATTTAGTCTTATTTCAACTGTCTTCAGGAGCAAGAGACAGCATTTTACAGATTTTACAAGTTTGAGTCAGACTCTTTGTACTTATTAAATTGCTACATATATACATTTATATATAGGTATGTATACACAGAGACAAAAATATAAACATACTAACTCCCTATGCCAAAGCCCATATAAATATATAAATATAATGGCTATATAAGTGTATAGATATATATGTATATAGGTTTGCAATACATGTACATTATATCTATATATATACATATGCATGCACACCTATGTATCACATATAGCTTGTATCTTTTATACTCTCAGTTAAACAAAATCCTCAGTTGGCTCTTAGTTATACTGGGATTAAACACCATTCACATTTGCCCTCTGCAAATCCATGAGCAGAAGAGGTTTCTAGCAGGAGCTCTGAGTAGCAAATAATTTTATCAAGAAATGCAAAGTGCAATATAAAATGTATAAAAGGCAGATAAACAATAACAATTCCCAGCATAAAAAGGAAAGTAAACGTGTTGCAGGCTTGGATACCAGGCTACTGGAGGTAAAACTGGGAAGAAAAATATTGCCACCATCACAGACGGAACTGGTAGAAACACCTGTAAGAGAAAGAAAAAAACTGGTTTAGGAATTACCTACTGTGATTTTTAAACCTCATTCATAAGAATAAAACAATTTTTACCACACTAGAGTACCATTTCTCATGCTGCTGCAAGCTCACCCAGCACAAAAGTCATCTGACCTCAAAATACCTAAAAGATAGGCATCTTTCCTAAAATACTTCTTCAGGCTTCTTCTATTGTCAAGGGGAAGAGATAAGCAGTACCTGAAATCCATTTGCCCACATATTATGGGCTCCTCAAGGATACTCGGGGCTGGGTGCTGTGCTGGCTTTGGTTGGGCCAGAGTTAGTTTTCTTCATAGTGGCTTGGTAAGGAGCTATGTTTCGGATTTGTGCTGAACACAGGGATGATAACAAAGATGATTTTGTTAGTACTGAGCAGACAGCACTTTACACTCAGCAACCTTGTTCTGCTGTTGTTTATCATGGTAATTTTCAAGCTCTGATCCACCTTCCTGTCAGTTTCTACTACAAAATTCATAAAATGCCTACTCAATTAAACATTAATGCACAATAATCTATTTTTTATGTCTAACTGGCTCATGTCAAACACTAAGAATTTTGATTCCTGAGATTATCAGCAGCAAGCTGTCACAATCTCTTTCAAAGCGAAAAATCTAAGTCTTGCACTCTATTAATACAGCTGCCCAAATAGAATAGTCTTTTAAATTATGTGTTTTCTTGTCTCTGACCTCAATTTATTAATGCCACAACAAGACTGCTGTGGGTGCAATTTAACCTGAGCACAGGAGTTAAAGGAGGTAAAGGCCCCGCAGCTAATAACTCCTGCTCTCTGATACCACACTGTTCCTCCCTGGAATGAAATAAAGCTCAGATTAAAGCCTTTCACCAGATCTACCACGGCATTGCTTGACCCTCCGTCATATCTCTGAGAGGAAAACTGTTCTGTACTTCCACACCTGCCTTAAATTCAGCCCTTCAGAGACTACCTTCTTCCTCCCTGGGTTTTACATTTCAACATGTACAAGTTGCCTTCTCAGATAGACACACTCCAGCTATTACCATCCCTCTTCACTTTCCAGCTTGGGCTTTGTTGCCAAGTCAAAGCTCAGACTTTGCAGTTTTTCCAGGTTCCTCCCTCCCTCCCTCCCTCCCGCAAAACACCCACGTTTCGCCTTTTTCTCTTCGGGAAGCGCGGGAGACCGCAGCTCTCAAAGCCACCGCTCCATATGGGACCGCAACCCCTCAACTTTCCCCCTCCGGCACCCAAAAGCATCTGGGGACCAAAACAACCGCGCGGCGACAACGACCTAGGCCGTGAGGGGGGGGCGGCGCTGATTGGTTGCAACGCGGGGAGGAGGGCGGGGCCTGGCGTAAAGGCTGTGTTGATTGGATACAGAGCAGGGCAGGGCGGAGCGATCTCTCTGATTGGCTGCGGAGCACTGAAAGTCAGGGCTGGCAGCCGTTGGCGCGCGGTTTGAAGATGGCGATGGCGGCCGAGGGTGAGCCGGGAGCGGCGGCCGGCGGCGGCAGCAGCTCCGTCAGTCCGGCCCCGCCTGCGGCCGTGGAGGCCGTGGCCGCGGAGTGGATGCTGGAGTTCGCCTGCTCCTGCCTGTGCCGGCATTTCGCGGAGCAGAGCGGGGTGGAGTTCTGGCGGTGGAGGGACGTTGCGCAGGGTGAGCAGCGGTGGCGCCGGTTCGGGGCTCTGGCACAGCCGCTCCCGGGACGGCCTGAGGAGGGCTCGGGTGGTATCGGCAGCACTCGCACGCTGTGACAGTACAGCAGTGCTAGAAATACTTCAGAGACCTAGAGTCTGTCAGAGATGAGATGAAATGAAATCTGGTGGCTGGATTTTGAATGGAAAAACATATTTAAAAAGAGAAATAAACTTTAGAGTGAGAATGGTTGGCAACTGGAAGTAAATGTGTAAGTCTCAGATGAATTTGATGGATTTATGATATTTTCATCTGTAAAAAGCAATTTAACTGAGGATACCAGGTTCTCAACTCAAGTGAACAGAGTAGTATGACTTGTTTAAACTTCTGCAAAAAATGGAATACAAAGGCATGCAGAATGATTATTAAAGAGATTGATATGGGATATGGTAAGAGATAAGAAATCAAACGATAACCCAATAAAGTGCTTTGAATGGGGGGCTGCTAGATTAAATTATTTTCGTTGCTTCTCGATGGCCTTTGCACTGCTACTCAGAGGGAGAATTGTTCTGAAGTTTCGTGAAGGTGGGAAGCAGAGACACTGTCAATGCAAAAGCAGATTGAAAATATCTCCTGAGAAGAACTGGGAGAACTGAGTATATCAGTAGAAACTATTAATTAAATTGTACAGAATTCAAGACCGTATGGAAATTAGAAGTAATAGCAAATTTTGAACTTGTTCCTACTCTGTTTTGCAACAGAGGAAAGAGTTTGGCAGTGTAAGATTATAAAGTCAATATTGCAAAAGTCTATGGGAAAAGGTAAGCACAGCCACAAGACTAAGAGAAAAGTGGGTGTGTTTTTTTCATAAAAACACAGAGCAATTACTCTTGCGTGCATCAAAGGGAGACCCTGCAGAAATAATGATTGTCAACAAGAAACTCAATTCAAACTGAAGCAATTGCAGAAAGATAGGAAGGTAGTGGTTCCAGATGATACCCAGTGGCTCCTTCGAACCCCAACAATTCTGTGATTCACTTTTCACTTTGAATGGTTCTGTATTATGGTGTGAAGATGAATTACTATAATCCAGCACATTAGCATAAGAAATTCACAGTTACCTTCGTGATGGGAATAAACTCATTATCGCTCCCATTTTAAAATATGTAATAATCCTTGTGACCTTCCAGCCTTGCACGGAGGATTTCCCTTGTAAATTTACATTTCTGAGTAAGCTTTCCCTGTCGTTTTTACTGCCATAGTAAGTTGCTATAGCAACATGTGCTACCAGTCTGCCTGTGGCTCATATTTTGTGGGCATTCTCTGGAAGTGTTCCTTGGAGCAGACAGCTGTCTTTTGTAGTAACGTACATCCCAAAAAAATCCCTAAATTTGATACTACGGTCTTTGAATTGGATGACTATAAACTGTGAATAATTCTGCTGTTTCTTCTGGAAAGGATATCTTCTTCTGGTCAAGCTCTTAAATATAATAAAATATAATTAAATATAATAAAGTTATTTTAGCATGGGAGAATACTAATTAAGTGTGCTTCATTGGTTTCTTAAGAAATTCAAAATTTGGTGAAATCTGATAACACACTGTCTAGTATATGTCTAACCACACTGTGGCAGTGTGGGAGCAATACTCACTTAACTTTTCTTTTCCAGCTCTTATTAATGGCCTCCCCCAAATACCTCCGCATCAGAAAAAAACAGTATACCTCTGCCAGCTTTTGATAAGAATTGCACAAGGAAAAAGCCTTGGTAAATACTCAGGTTCTTTTCTTCATTTGTTTAAAAATAGTTGCATGAACTTTTACAGAGGTGTATTAGATATGCTTAAACATAGCCTTTTCTGTGCATATCAATATATGTATATATTTATATAGATATGTCTATATATAAATTAATTGAATAAATTTCACATTCTGGACTACCTTTATTACACATGTGACTGAGCTGTCTGCAGGACTGGTGTTATTCTCTGCTGACTGACTTAGCTGCATGGAGTTTGAACAATCATATACTTCTTAAATTACATGGGGGTTTTTTGTCAGAGTAGTATTGACAAAAGAAATACACTGGAAAGAACTGACTAGCTCTTAGTGAGCAATACTTGCAACTCAGGATATGGGTTAGAACTCAGGATATGTGTTCTTTTCCGCACATTTAACTTTAGAGGTTAAAGTAGGACAGACAGCAGGAATGAGAACATGGATGAAAAGGATAACTGCCCATGTTTCCTACAGAAGACTGTAAGACTTCCAGCTGGCAGCAAGTCCTTGGGGCTCTTATTCACTACCATACCTTCTCTTTGGCTATATTTGCAATTTATTGGTTTAGCCAAGATGATTTTGTTTGAGTTTCTGTAAGGCAAGGCATTAACTTTTTTTTTTTCACTGTTTGATAAAACTTTTTGGAATTTAAGGACTTCAGAAGCAGTCTTGAAAGCCTGAGCATGGGAAAAAATAGTGTATTCTAGCCTAGCAATGTCACAAAGTCTTGTTTTTAGACAATTAAATTTCCTATGTTGCTTATCGAGTATTACGTCATCCTGATTTAATTTAGCTTGAGAATCAAATTCTAACATTTAAAATAGTTCATCAAATTATTTAAAATAGTATACAAACTATGATTTTTTTGTGCTAATGCTCTAAATTATTGTATATAACACTTGAGAATATGCATTCATTCATTCTGTTTTTATCTTATCAGTAGAGAATGATCTGTGTGGTGAGGAAGATTGCATGTGTGTAGTAGGTATTGCATCAGGTGTAGCTGTACAATGTACATCGAAAGCTAATATATGGTAGCTTTCCTATTTTTTCTAGTTATTAAAATATTTGATCTATGCTGATCACACAGAGTAGGCTGTTTCAACTCTAAGAGCTAAATACTTCGGTTTTACACTATTAAAATGAAAAATATGAAGTGTCATGTTACTTGGTTAAGACAATAATTAGAGAAAGATGTGTTTTTGTTTTAGTTGTGTGTATAGATATGTACATAATCCTGTTTGAAATGTCATTGTTTGACATTGTAGCAGGTATAAAATAATTTTTCTCTCTACATTGAGCAAATTGTTTACCTTCTGTCTGAAAAATACTTAGTGAAAGTAATAAGTTAAGAGAGATTCTGCCAATGCCATAAAATGAAGGCATAAGTTCAGTGAATATCTTGAATTAAGCTAGCAAAAAAGCACTTGTGCACCTGCCAGCTCCTCCTGCATCTGTTACATTGGCACAGCCACTTGTGCAGGTGTGCAGGGACCAGACTGGGAAACTGCTTGAGGGTGTTGAGGGGATAAATATTTGGCTAGGCTAGATTTCTGCCACTACTGGTCACTGAACCTTTGCTGGGAGTTTGGACAAGCCTTGGTGCTGGCACAGCAGTACCCTGGTGTGGGAGGCTGCTTCTGCTTTTTCAGTGACACTCATGTACATCTGAGTTTCCCTCTCAGTTTGAACACTTCAAATACAACAAAAAAGTTAAGACATGGAAATACTGGTAGACTCAGGGAAAAAAATAAACCTACTTAGCATGGTGATTATATAACAAAATCAATAGTATCAGTATCAAATGTTGTGATATCTGATGCTAAGTTTAATGTATCATTAGTGCCAGCCCAAATACCTAATTGCAAGTGGTACTTTAAGGGAACAATGATTAGCTGACATAATACCCCCTGAAAATGCAGCAGTAATGTTATTAGCAAGGGTAGGAAGAACCAGTCTCTCTGAAAAGAAGACAATTGCTTCAGGTTTCTTAAACACACCTGAAAATTGAGGGAAAAGGAATTGAAATTGTGTACTACGTATCACTTTACTGCATATAAATAATATAATCTGTTTAACTTTATTCTTTAACTTTTATAAGTACTTTGGTTTTTTCCTCCTCTAAGGATTACATTTTGAAAATGATCAAAGAATTTCACCTTTGGAATCTGCTCTGTCTTTCTGGACTTTACTTGAAAGGGAAGAAATGAAACTGGAAAAGCTTCATGAAGATATTCGTCGTTTGATTCAAATTCAGGTCTGTGCAACTTACTCATAATGCTTCAGGATGCTACCTACTCATTGGGAATGAGTAGCTGGAATGCTGCCTGGCAGGAAAGGACCTGGGGGTGCTGGTCAACAGCAGCTAAACAACAGCCAGAATGTGCCCAGGTGGCCAAGAAAGCAAATTACATCCTGGCTTATATCCAGAACAGTGTGGCCAACAGGACCAGGGCAGTGAATATCTGCTATGCTCAGCATTGATGAGGCCACACCTTGAATCCTGTGTTCAGTTCTGGGCCCCTCAGGAAAAGAAAGACTTTGAGGTGCTGGAGAGTGTCCAGAGAAGGGCAACAGAGTCTGGAGCATGAGCCCTACAAGGAGCAGCTGAGGGAGCTAGGAGTTGTTTAGCCTGGAGAAAAGGAGGCTCAGGGGGGACCTTATCACACTCTACAACTGCCTGAAAGGAAGCTGTAGGGGCAGTGGTGGTGGGGGTTGTTCTCTTCTCCCAGGTGACCAGTGACAGGATGAGAGGAAATGGCCTCAAGTTGTGTCAGGGGAGGTTTAGATTTGGCATAAGGAAAAGCTTTTACACACAAATGGTTGCACAACATTGGAACAGGCTGCCCAGGGAAGTGGTGGAGACACTTATCCCTAGAAGTGTTTGAAAAAAACATGGATATGGCACTTGAGGACATGGTTTAATGGTGAATATGGTGGTGGGTGCTAGGTTTGTGGTTGGACTTGATGACTTTAAAGGTCTTTTCCAACCTTAAAAATTCTAGTCTATCCTGCTAAAACAGAGCCCTTTTTACAAAAAGCTTGGGCTATTAGCACACTGAATGGAATTTTCAGTTTTAGTACAGAGTAAATTGATCTGCACAGGGGACCTTTTTCTATCTCATATGGTTCCTGTTTGTACCAGTTCGAATTTGTTTCAAAAGCTGCCAATCTGAAAAAGATGTCAATTGAAATAAATTCCAAAACCAATTTCAGAATTGTTAGAAGTAGATAAGTGTCAGTAACCCTTAAATATATAATCATCTGAATTTTGGGAGTCATAGAAAACTGTAGAATTGTGAATTCTCTTGTTTTTTCTGAATCTCAGGTGGAAAGTATTTAATCATACCTTGTAATTATGTTTCTTGTAGATTGTAGCAGTCCATATGGAAAACAGATACTTCAAGGAAGCTGCTGAGGTTCTTGAAAGGCTGTTCACAGACTCTGAATCAGATAAGGTAGTAACTTGCTTAAATTGCATTAAAAGCTCTTGATTTTCAGAGGAGAAAGAGGGGAGTCAGTTTTCAAAGCTAGCAAATCCTACCTGCATAACTTCAATCTCATTATTGTCTATGCAGTCACTTTCACACTTTTGTCACTTTAAAATATAAAAGGAAATTTCTGTCTAGGAGACAGATAGAAATACTGGATAATTTGTGGGAGTAAAATGTTTTTAGCAGCAGCTGTTCTTCATCCCCTCTCCCACTTCATATGAGGAGTGAGATGGCACTACAAATTCTGGGAATTTGATAGTGCTGGCTATTAACAGCCAGTTTGCTGATTTCTATTGTAGTGGACTCTGTTACCTCTGATTAGTGTTCTATGTACCAAAGCATCCCAGGGAAGGAAAACTCATTAGCTTCTGTAGTATAGACTGAATGCTATTATGCCTCTGCCTGGAAAAGTCAACATATATGTCAGTCTGCCTCCTGGTTTGAAGTTGACTGTATCATTCAGAAAGTTACAAGCTTGAGTGAATATCTCTTTAATATAACAGTTAGTGCACACACTTGAGTTTGCTAAGGCAGAGAAAAGAGCAATAGAAGAGCTGCAGGTGAAAAGAAGTTAAAAATGCTGCCTATATCTTCAGCTGGAATATTAGGACACGTGTTCTTCGTAAGTAGTAGCCTGTGTATAACTTACTCTTCAGATACGTTTCCATTCAGAGGATTTGGAGGTTTGGAAAATCTAGATTGTAGTAATAGTACTCAAGTTCATAAATAAAAATGCAGCCTCTACACAGCTATATTGGCTTTGGTAAAATTCAGAGGGATTGGTAGACAAAATGTGAATTTCTGATTATCAGCATTGATGTGTCCTTAATGCTGCTGTACTAAGTTATCCTTTTCCTGAACGCTGTACGCCCCTTCCAATGGCAGTCTTTTTTGAGGCAGCAAATGAGAAGAGAGAACTGAGTAATGGGTGACTTCATCTGTGTGTTTTTCCTCCACTGAGAAGCCTGCTTTCAGTGTTATCTGTAAAGGAAATGAACCTGTGAATCTCTGGTCAGTTACATTTCACCATTTACTGAGAACATAAAGTAAATAGCTGGTATTATGCCTAGTTGACTCCAGAACTCTTTCAAACTGTAGCATGAAGCTGTATAGGGATATTCAGGAAACTATATAATCATCATATTTAGCTTTCTGTATTTCCTGTTTAACATAGATACCAAGTTTACTGTAGGATTTGTGTTGTATAAAGCTGTGCTTTTCTTAGCCTTTAAGGGTGAAGCTGGCAACTGTAATTAAAACCAAGGATCCATATGTTCCTCTTCTCCAAAGCTTCAGTTACAGTCTTTTGATAAGTAAAATCAAGTCTTACATTGAACTTTTCATGAAAGAAAATGAAACTAACTTCTTAATACAGGTATGTTGAAAATATTTTAAAAACTCTTGAAAAAACTTACCTGATACAATTAAATAGATTTATCCTTTGAAGGGAGCTGTTTAGGCAATATTACATTACTGTATTAGATAAAAAGGAAACTTTGCCTTCCTTTGGATTGTCTTATATTCAACATTTTTGTTTTAAGTACTATGTCTTGGAGAAAGTTAGTAGGAAAGAGAGACTCCTCTAAAGTATCTTCTATGAATGTTTTTCCCACAACTGTTTTGATCAGAAAAATAGTTAGGAAAATAGTGTAATTAAAACAAGATCGGTTTAAGGGAAGCAGTTCTGATATTGGACTCCTTAAAAAACGTAGCTTTATATATAATGCTTATTTTATTTAAGCCTACATGACTTCTCATATTAAAAATAAAATCAAGACCTGTTAATCTGGCTAAAAGTTTTAGGAATGTCAGGAGTTAGGAAATAGAAAACTATTATTACTGTTTTCCTGTAAATAAATGCTCCTTACAAACCGTCTTGTTCAAAAGTGATTTAAAATTGGCAAGAACAACATTCCTTCTTCAGTTCATCTTCAAGAGGATTGTAAAGAATTTCTCTTATGTTTACTTCATATAAAAGAATATTGAATTATTCAATTACAAAAGCACAGACATCTAAAGGTAATAAGAAGCAAATTTTAAATAAACAATCCTGAAGTTCCTCTGTGTTTTTTATTTTCTTACCAGAGAGACAACTTATTAAACGCAGTCAAAGTATAATACAAGGAATACCTTTTAATGGTTTCACATGACTGTCAGTTTTCAAGTTTATTTTCCAAGGCTCTCTCTTTGAGTCTAAGAGGAAGTGAGGCTTTGAGGTGTCAGAGAAGGCCCAGAACTCCATAGTAGCATGCCTAAGGTCCTTACTGCCTGCACACTTGTCCTACTGTCTGCACCCACATTGCAAATCTTACTTTGAACAGAGTTGTTCTGGCACATGGAGGGGACAACTTCGTGAAGAATTCCCACTCCTGTGCAGCACACAGGTTTCCCAGCAGGGTACCCTGACTCCTCTGCAGAAGAACACTCTAGCTTTAACTGTTAATTTCTCTTATCTTTCTTCTAGTGCCATGTGTAGAAGTATAATCATAGAATAGTTTGGATTGGAAGGAACCTTTAAAGGTAGTTTAGTCCAACCTCCTTGCAATAAGCAGGGACATCTTCAATTAGATCAGGTTGTTTTGAGCCCATTCAACCTGGCCTTGAAGGTTTTCAGGGATCAGGCATCCAAACATCTTGCTGGGCAGCCCATTCCATGTTTTGCCACTCTCATCACAAACAAAACAAAATTCTTCCTTATATCTAGTCCAAATCTACCCTCTTTTAGTTTAAAACCATTAACTCTTGTCCTACCACTACAGGCCCTGCTAAGGAGTTTGTCCCAACTTTATTCAGTGTAGGAGGCCCCTTTTAGGTACTCTATAAGGAGTAATGAATTACTACTTCCTTCTCTTGGCAATAAAAGAGAAATAATCATGGTTTGTAGCTGAAAGTTTGAGCAGGATATTAGAAATATTTTTTGCCAGTGGAAAAAAGATTACAAGCCTAAGGTCTGTTTAGACATGTCTTTTGAACGTGTTACATGTATGCTTTGTCCTGCCATATGCTACAGAACTAGATAAACTTGACATCTGTCAGTTTTAGCTTCTAACCTAGTTATAAAAACCAAACTTTGGAGTACTTTGATAGATTTTGCAGTCAGTTAAGCTCTGCAATTTACTTCACACATTTTTAAGTTCATTCATTATGCAACTATTTGTTGTATTTCTTTGTGTCCATATAAAAATCAGTTGCAGCTATGACTAAAATTTCTCCAAGTTATCAGTTGATAAAGATCGTTATGGATTTCAACTAAGCATGCTAAAGTTGTTTTGAAACTACTTAGCTTAGTTTACTTACTTAGTTTAATGTTAATACCTTTGAAATGTCTGTCAAATAAGCACTGCTAGTTCTAATAAAAATTATACATATTAATCTTAGTGCAAACTCCTATCTAGGTATTGCCTGACTTTAATTTTAAGGTATCAATTCCATTTCTCACAGGAAGCCACAAAACACGTAGCATCTAAAGGGTTGGGAGCAATAGCACTGCAAAAGAAACCTGTGGAAGTTAATGAAAATGACAAAAGTGATTTGGAAACAAAACAAAGGTTTGTATTATTATACTGCTAAGGGATATGTTTGGACAGTAACATGAAACTTGTAGACCAAAGAGTAGGTAGAAGGAGGGATGTTAAATTCCAAACTGTTGTCCTATAGAAAATTAGCGACAAGCACATTGCCTATTTTTTTTTTGTGCTCTTCTGTGGTTGTTACTTTTGGCATTTACATCAAATAGCTTGTCATTAAGTTTAATTATTTGTGAGGTTGCACAATTTGTAGTTTAAACAGCTGTCAGTCTATAATAATAAAAGCACAAAAATACTTTGCTTTTTTAATGTTTGATTGAACCCTTTAGTTCTAATTTCAGGCCATAGATCATCTCAAGAAGAAAAAGAATAAGGAAATGGAATCAATCTTGCATTTTTCTTACCGCTGACCCCTTAATCATGCTAGCGTGAAGGGAAATATTTATGTTGCTTCATGATTCTGACAGTGCAAACCTTCAGAACAATTACATGATTATTTTGGAAAATACTCATATTATAGGTTTATCACCACTTGTTTTTCAGGGAGAATAAGTTGCAGTCTTTAGCTGGGATAGTCTGTATTTCTTAATTTTTGTACTAGGAATGCTTGGTATTATTTAGTTAAGAAAATTGGCTGATGCAGACAGTATAGAGGAAGACAAGTCTTAAGATTTTTCAGTTTATTTTTTTAGAAGGGCAACTCCTGATGCATCTGAGAGATATGATGAAAGTCTCATTGAAAAAAAACTATGGAAATAATTCCTGATGAAAAATAGAAGTGCAAAATGCCTCTTATCTTCAGCTTAAAGGTCTTGGGAACAGGCTACCCAAAGGAAGTTGTCACAGCACCAAATCTGACAGTTCAAGAACCCTTTGCACAGTGGTCTCAGGCACATGGTGTGACTTCTGGGGATGCCTTTGCAGGCATCCCCAGAAGCTGAACTCAGTGAACCTTGTGGGTCCCTTCCAACTCAGCAGATTTTGTATTTCCTTTCCAGGTGTAGGGAGGCAAGGTTAAGAGAATGAATGCATTGATGCAGTTAGTGATTTTATACCACTTCTGAGAAGTCTTAGGATTTTCTTTTGTTTAAATATTGTTGAATCATATAAAAGGCAAGTTGCTGCCTAGGAAATAACTTTTTTTGTCTTTTCATTTTAAGATTGATGAAAGAGGAGCGGTATATCAGAAATCAGTCATCTGGAAACATAAAAAAGCCCACAGTAAGGTAAAAAAATTTGTTGTTGCTCTGATCACAGACTTTTCGTCAAGTTCTTTGTATTTTGATTTCAGATTTGTGTTCTTTGCAGGAGAAGTTCAGGACAGAAACCCAAAGAGAGCAGAGCTCTTCAGAGTGAGTATTTCAATGCAGTCATGTCAAACACTTATTTCTAACTGCTATGAAATGTGATTGGATTAATGCAGAAATGATTGTGGTGGATAAAAACACTCCAAGTTGTATGCAGTTTCTGCACAAATGCAGAATATATGCATATTTAGGAAGCTGTGAAGTGGCTTAAGGTTCTCTAGCAATTAATTTTGCAAAATCATTCACTATTTTCTAGTTTGCTTGGTTGTTTTATGGTCCTTAGGGTTCTTTTGTGCAAAAGAAAACTGACAGCGGAGTACTGAAATTAATTTCTTTCTGAATTCTGTGCTAGATAACTTGATTTGGAAGGGACTAATGAAGTTAGCTAATGGGAAAAGCAAATTGTACTCTAAAATGCACGAAGCAGGATATTTGTGCATTTTCCTGGTATTACTTCTTAAAAACCTAAAAACAGAGATAATATAATACTTATAAGTTCTTAAGACCATTAGCACTCTCTTACCACAGAGAGATGATGATATAGTTCCTGCACGTGTCCATGTGTTGCACATGGAAGGACAAACTCTTATGATGCCCTGAATGCTTGCCACAGTTAAAACCTGATACACTTACTTGGAAATGATGGGATTTGTATACAAAGAATCATAGCTCTGATTGTTACTTCTCATTCTATGTAAAATGAGACTAGTGCATATAGTAAAAATGTTTTTATCAAAATGCAATGTTTTATTATTAGGTACTAATTTTTACCTAAGTGTATAAAATATAATTCTTCTGTAAGCTCTACTGTATAGAAAATACAGTGGTTTTTTTGAATAGCTTATTTTTTTAAGCCCTTGGATTATGGCAAGATATCAAAGTATACTTGTATGTAAACAGACACTGAAACTTTCCCAGTCTGTCAAAGCAAATCAAAATAGTGTACATTCTTGTCACTTGTAAATGGTAAAATGCAAAACTGCTTCCTTGATGTTGACTCCTCATCATTCTGGACTTATATTAACTGTCTTCTAGGTCTTAACAACATGCAAAATGTGGGAAAAAATGGAGTTTCTTTTGTAGCTGAATGTAGCCGAAGAAGACAGGTTTGTATTCTCTTTTCTATTCTCTCTCTATTCTATTCTCTTTTCTAAATGTAGATAGAATGAATCTGAACGCACTGATTTTTTTTTCTCAGCTTTATTCAATCTAATTTTTAAATCTAGTGCTTAGATTTTAGGTTCTGTAGATTACTCAAGTGCTACAGCTCCTGAAATAGTTACAGTCCTTTTCTTTTCAAAGACAGGAAATAAAACATATTTTTGCTGTTTCAAATATTGTTGCTAATGCTTCCAAGCCTTTTATTTGTTGAACTACACTGTTACCAAAGCTTACTGTGATACAAAATATTCTTTCCACAGTTTTGATAAAAGAATTCAGGATGTCATTTGCCTGTGAGAATTTTGGCCAAATATCAGAGGCAATTTGTTTTCCAGTTTAGGAGGTTAAAGATTTAGCAATTTTATAATTCAATTCTTTGTTTATGTGATGTAAAAATATATTTACTTGGGAAACTACTCTACAGTTTTATAAACCAAATGGTAGGGTCTTCTTACAATGCTACATTTCAAATGATCCTGTGCTCTCTTCGTGGGTAAGCCTACTTCACTGAATTATATTAAAATAACTCTACTGTGTTCACTAATGCTGGAATTCCCATTGGTGGGAAATGCAGAAGTGTATACCTTAATAGAATGCAATTTGAAGCTGATTTGATGTTGGGGTCTTTCAAGCTAATTTTTTCTTATAGCAAATTTTCTCTCATAAGTATTCAGCATTTTATCATGATAAGTGAAAAAATTAACATTAAATAAATGTATTGCCATTGTTGGATTCCTCTTCATAATATATTTTAGGAAGCAATGTGGAGTCTTTCTGTTTAGATAATAGTGCAAGTTATAGTCGTATATCCATTTTGATGTGAGCTGTTTAATTTTTCTGGTTCATTTTGATATTTCATTTTCATATGACAGGGAAGACCAAATTGATGTATGTTTGTTTTTGGTTTTTTTCTAGAAGAGAGTTGTACTTACTCCTGTTTCTTTAAGCATTTTTACTGAAGTTGAAGTACTGGTTAAATCTTCAGTTACATGCTGTCTTCAAATTGGTTGAGGTCCTAATTATACCTCATCTATCCTTGAAATTTGAGCCTCTAAAAAGAGTTTTTCGCTTTCTCACAAATCTCAGGAATGGTTAAATCACTGACAACCTCTTTAAAAGCTGCAGATAAAACCAGAGTCCTAAAAAAAAAGCAGCCCTTACTGGATTTGCTTTTTGCCTTTAAAGACATAATTACTTTATTCCAGTATATACTTGGATAGGTACCTTTTTAGCCAATTGCTGGTAAGCATGAACATTTCCATTGAGTTTATCAACATCCAGAATTAAACTATTTGGACCACAGTGACACAGAGGTAATGAAAGCTTTGTATTCACATATTTTAATGCTGAGCTAGTTTGTTATGGGGTCACCTACAAGCACTGTGTCTAGGTCTAGGGCTTACATACACATCTTGTTAGAAAAAAAAATAGGAGTTGTTTGCTTAATTATGTTCTTATAGTTCAACCTTAATTGAAATATAAAGACTAAATTTGTAGAGAATGAATCTGACAGTGGCATTGAAAATTTTAAAAGAACTTAAATGAAGCTTAAGATTCAAAACTGTTTCTTTCAACACTTAGAAAAGTTGTAGGCATTTTCTCCCTCTGTAATATTTATGCCTTACTCCCTACCACTGAAACGTCATAAATGTTTTATGGAAAGCAATGATAATTGGCCTTTTAAACAATAAATCTGCTTCTCTGCTTAATCATCTGGGTTATAAAATTGTCCACATGCTTGAAAGAATGCAATGAATGTCAGAGCTGTTGACTTCTAGAACTTCCTTTTCCATGTAGTCCCTCATTCAATGTTGGCATTGTTTGCTCTTGTTTTGTAAATGGCATTTCATTGCAATGGTTCAGTGCCCATTTTCAGCTTTTCATTGCAGTGTTTTCAGTTAGCATAGAACAATCTGCAGTGCTATTGAAAGGACACATACTTTATTTTCTCATTCCTAAATTAGGGGATGCAAGTGTCACAGAATTTAGGGAAGAATTTGTGCTCAATTTTATACCCAGTAAGTATATGGCAAGTCCTTTGAGTTGTCTAAAATGTGGATGATACTTTATTTAAATTAAACAATATGTCTGAAAATCTGAGTGTTCAGAATTTAGTCAGACTTTTATGGAAAAAAAAATACGTATATTTAAAGCTAAAGGAGAAAACTCTGCTTGAGCAGAGTCCCATAATGCATAAAGGAAGACAGATTACTAGAGCAGAACCAACTCTAAGGAACAGCAAGATCTTTTGATATGTGAGGGGGTGTCTTCACATTCTGCCTGGCAAACTCAAGTTTGCTCTGCTGGTGTTCAGAGCTGGCCAGATGTCACATTGCTGTGGACCAGGCACTGTGCTGATGTGAGCTCAAGCGTAGTGCTGCTTTATGTCCAGGCTTTCAACCAGTCTTGTAACAGTGCAAAGTGGACATCTACATAAATTGTGTCCCAGAGAGGATGACAGCTTGTCAGTGAGTGGGGCAGGGAGCAAGTTACAGTGAAAAGAAAATTAATCTGTCCCTGATTTACCTGTAAAGCAGGCCCTCATTTATACAATAAATGGAAGAAATTTATTTTTTAAAAAAGGTCAATGTAAGTAATTAAAAATCAAAACAGGCTAAAAACAACCTTTTTAACAGCAAATATAATTAATCATTGCAAGTAATATGGGTTGTGATCGTCTCTTTTGATGAAAGTATTTGAATTATCTGGTGTTGTAGGTCAAGCATAACTGTGTTACTTGAATAAAGATTTTATTTAGGAAAGTTTTCTGGCATGCTCTGAAATGACATGAACTACATGATTCCAATGGAATCTCTGGCCTTTTAGTATAGCAGAAAAAAAAGCTATTCACTGCTAATATTGCAAAAGATCTGTGGAACAGGAAGACTCAGAAAAAGTATTTTTGATAAAGGTTATACTACTTTAGAGAAGTTTTAGGTTCCTAACTGTTTAGAAATACAGTTGAATGACTATTACTTGTAATTCTTTCACTGCTTAGTGAAGTTTGTCAGTGATCAAAGTTTACTGAAGAGGCCCTGATACTTGCATTAAGCTGGAATAAATTCAACTTTGAGATGTGAAGCTTGGTCTTTACATACCTCAGCTTGGACTTTGTGTAGATGCCACATTTTCCCTTTTTGGAGAATAACCAGGATACAGTTTTCATCTGTCACAGTTTTGAGGCTGAATATTATGTAAGCTTGTTTCCCATCAGAGACTTCCCCCCATCTTTCATTTCTGAGCCCTGCTGCAACTTTTAGAAACTTAAATTTAACAGAAGGGTGGAACCATGCAGAATAGCACTCAAAATTGTCACCTGGCCAGAGACTGAACTGATGATACTTACAAGAGCAGAATCTTTTAAAGATCCCAGAAGGATTCCACATCATTAAGAAATAAATTTATTTTTTCTTCTTATTTCCATGGATGTGGGTTCTTGTGCCACTGACCATTGTACTGACTGGGTGTTCCTGCTGCTCATCCTCCTTTGTGCACAAGCAGGAGGATATGCATTTGTGTAATGACAGCAGCCATAAGATTTACATTTCCATTGGGTACATTGTTTTCATAGTTAAGTGATGTTTGTTCCCCCGTAATTCACATTTCCTTGCACTTATCAGATCTACTAGTTGCCTTTAAGCTGAGCCTATTCCTTTGCACCTGCATTTCCCTTTCTGCCCAGTTCTTTACAATTTTGAAGCTTTCAGTTGTAAAGGTGAGCCATAACATGATTCTCTAATGTTCCCTTCTGCTTTATAGCAAACACCATTTATCTACTTAATAGTTGGGAGTGATCTGTTACTTACAGAAGGAGGTTTTATTCATATTCTGGGAAACCAACCTTTCTTTTATTCCACCAAGATATAAATTTTAGGCCTTGGATTTATCCATTTACAATTCTTATGGCTCTTGTAATTCTATAAACATCTTTTACTTCCAATCCAGTTACTCCAATTAACCCAAGGTTTTATTAACACAGGTCCCCTTTGTGAGCCCCCATAAAGTTCTATTTGTTCAGTTACCAATTTATCATTTATCTCTAGTTTCAAGATACGGTGCTTAAAGAAAAGCCCTCTGACAACTGTATTCTAATAACTAGAGAGCTGTTTGAAAACTTGCTTTTATATTTGCTATAATCGCTGATATTAATATCTTCCTCTGTTCATTTTTCTGGTATTTGTCTCTGCTCTTGCCCTAGCGATGGACTCACAAAGAAGACTTGGAGCTGAAATTGGGAGTAAGGGAGTTTGGAGTGGGTAACTGGGCTAAAATTTTACTCCATGGTAACTTCAACAACCGAACAAGTGTCATGTTGAAAGACCGGTGGAGAACATTGAACAAGATGAAGCAAAACTGATTTGGACTACAGGAAACAACTCTTCTTGACCTTTCAATACATGAGGACGTTCTCTGTTACTTTCAGTCAGACATTATTTTCAGAATAACATCTTATTTTAGTCTCAGTGTCCAGCAGTGTTGCTGTCATAAAACATTAAACAGAATACTAATTGGTATAGAACACTCATGTAAGCTCATTTGCTCTGGTAATGATGACTTAAATGTAAAGTCTGGCCGTTTTTGCTATATGCAATAATAGATGGCCTAGATTCTGAAATGTGAAAATGTTTGCAGTGATTTAGGAAATGTCTGTTATGTAAATGGGTGTATTAGATCTGAATGGTGACATCTTTAGTTTGATGGAGGCTATAAAAGGTCAAATGTTCTGTATTTTAAAGGGCTGTATCTCTTTTTAGATTGACCTTTTCATCATTTTACTTCCTGCCATATAATCCATTCTAATCTGTTTTGCTTGACTTTGAAATTTTGGTCAGACTTGTCATCTCTGTAAGTTATACCAAAAAGTATGTATGTATTAGTATTGCTGATTTTATGAGCTGATGGTTTGTTGTTTGTTTCTGCAGTTAAAAATGTGTAAATTCATATACTGTTGTAAGTAACAAAGGGACTGGTTTATTTTTTACATGGACAGGAGCACTATTATACTAGCACTTAGCATCTCTTGGTTAGCTTGTGCCACCTACCTTGTCATGACAAGTGACTTCTTCCAGACCAGCAGGAAAGGGAAAGTTCAATAACACATGGCAAAGTGGGGATCAGTAACGAGTCTACACTGTCAGTGACAGCAAAGATACACTTTGGGGGTCACTATCAAGGTCTCTGCTGGCCACTGCAACCTCCTGCTCATGGGAGATTGGAACAGATGGATGATGGCACTAGCCGGTCTCTCTGGATTCAGATCATTTGGAAGAGACTTCCACAATCTCAGGAAACTCACGCTTTCCATACTGGTGTGAATCTAGTGACTTGAACTAACATAATACAGCATTCTTTTAAAAGTGAAATCCCCTGAATTCATATTTTTTGTGCCTTTTTTTCTTGGCTAAGGTTTTTATTTTCCAATAACCTTACAAGAAAAAGCAGCTGTCTGAATTGGTCATAATAAAACAAAGCTCTCTGAGACAATTTTCCCCATTAAAAAGGAAAACATTCTTGAAGTCTGCAATGTTCAGAAAGCATTAAAATAATCTGTTTTCTGTTTTGGAGGCCTGCTTTCATTACGATAAAATGGTAAAATACAGTTCAAAGGTTTGTGCCACAACACATTCTTGACAGAACCTCAAGCAGATCACCTTCCTCACTCTTGCCAAGAAACCACTATGATTTCTTCTAGGAAGTCTTAATGTTGCATGGGGATACTGCCTGTCTTAACAGGAAATTTTCTCAACCTGCACAGTAGTCTTGTCAGAGCTCAGATGTTGCAGGTTCTATGTTCATCATTGTAGCTGAGCATTTTTAACTAGTAATAAGTAATTTTTTTACCTTAGTCACAAAGTCTTGCCTAGGTTCACCTGCCAGGAAAGTTACTTTAATACTTTGTATTATTGACATGAAGTTCTGAGGAGACCAATTCTTTAATAGTACTAAGTATGTCTTCATGAAGGTGGCTGAACATGAAAACTTCAGTGTAGAGGAAGAATACTTATGCAGATGTAGTGTAAAAAGTTGTCTAGATGATACTGGAGAAGAACAAAGGACCTAAACTGAAATTGGTTTTAGCTCTCAAAACTTAATTTTTATTCACCCTTGCTCTTAAATGCTGACAGTCACTATTCTCAGACTTGAAAATACTTGGCTGTCTCACTACTTAGGAGCAGTGCCTATGGACTGGGCTGTGGCCAGTAAAGATGGAAAACTTCAGGAAAAGTAACAACTATGGTTAGAAACATTAGCTCTTTAATTACAAAAGGCAAACATGGAAACATGCTTCTAGTGTTCTGATAGAGATCAGTCTTTGCATTTTGTATTAAGGCAGAGAGCATTTCCTGAAATGCTTTTGCCAAAGGTCTGATTCATGTAAAATTGAAGGCTCCAGAAAATGCATCAGAAATATGTTGGTTTCTTGGCATTGTTGTTAGTTTTCTTATTCTTTTTGTTGCCATTTTAAAGGTCTTTTAAACTTTTATGTAAAAATAAAACTATGCACCAGGGGACAGGAACAGTGTTCTAGTTGCCGGATCTTCTTCCAGGTTCCTTGGCACTGAGAGTTGCCAATTGCTTCCCAGTGTAAGATTTTATCTCTGAAATGAGACAATAAATGAGAAATTAGACAAGTAAAAGCTGTGAATTTAGTATTATCGAATGGTGTTGTATAAAATGTCAGAAGATTGGATTTGTTTAATCATGTAAGATCTTATTAAACTCATCTAGCTCTTAAAATTCTTTCTGGAGCAGACATATTCCTGTGTGGAGTATCCAGGATGGTGGGTTGCGTAGCTGGTTGTACAGGTATTTAGTATGCATATTAATAAATGTATGAATCAAATAAAAATCAGTTCTGAATACTAAATATTTACTTTCACAATTACTTTTCTTAAAAAACAGGTATACAGGCTTGAGGGAAGTACCAATCCACCACTGTTAAATCTGCAATCAGATTTGGACTACGGCAGGAAATACCATTTTTAAGTAGAAGTGCCATAGCTGTAATAAGTCCTCTTCCACTACACAAATTCCATCACTTCACAATTGTGAATAAAGCATGCAAAGCACTGAACTCCTATACTGAAATTATTTTCCGATTTTATCTATGTTTTAAAAGCAATTTCTGCGAGAACTGAAAGGGTAAAACCTGAGCTCTCTACAAGTGATTTGAGCTGTTACATTTTTTAGGTACAAAAAATGCAGCTTTTAATGAGATCTTGAGAAGTTTTAACTCTTTTTGGGTTTTGGTTTACCCGTGTGCATTATGGCCATCTCCGGAGCAGCGCTGCGTGGCCGTGCTCATGGCCGGGGGCTGGCAGGCGACACACACGGTGTGTCCCTCGCGCAGGTACTGCATCCAGCGCGCGTGCGGACGCGTCTCCAGAGCGCAGTGCTGGGAAAGAGATTCTGTCCTGAACTCCACACAGTATCTGCTCAGAAGGAAAAGTACCAAATTATGAGAAAGCATGATCTAAGTAGGCGCTTTGAATGGACTTGCATATCGTAAGGGTGATGTTTGTGAAGTGCAAGTCAGACATTGTCATTGCTAACAAATCTCTTTTTGACCCTAACCCAGTCAGTGGATTCTTAAAAGCATTACGTAAACTATTTCTCATTCTATGCCCCAGTCCAGTAATTTATGTATAATCTCACTTTCTGGTAGTGTTCTGTATTATTAAATTATTTTGAAAAACTGATCTCAGTAACTCATATTTTTTTCTCCCATGCAGCTGAAAGAAATTGGAAGAGACTTTAAGAATATCAATGAGTTTTATTATTCTAGAAAAAAATAGCACAGGACAAAGCATTATGAGCATTACAGACCCAGTAATAGCCTAATTTAAACTTCATTGCTATCTCTACTGGTAACTAAACAAAATTTCTTACTGCTTGTGTCAAATAGTTTAATAAAAAAAGGTCTCCTGTGACCAATCCCATTCAGCCCATTTTGTTCAGAGACCTACATCTAAGTTCTCAGACTTACACTTAGGATACATTCATCTTTGTTTCAGCATTATTTACCGTTGGCTTTCAAAAGCAGCTGTCATCAGATTTGCAATGATCCCAATGTCTAATTCAGGACAATTAGCAAGTAATAAAAAAAACCATCTAGAACATGCAAATGAGCTGCAGGAAAGAAAATCAGTACAAGCTATAGCTTATTGTTTAATGATTGCAAATTTAATTATATTTTTCTCTCTAGCCAGCTGTTTTCTACTGAACAAGATGACCCACATACATATGATAAATAGATTACCCTGCTGCCTCTTTGTCTGAAGGCCAGAGAGAAGATACTGCTCTTCTTTTTCTTTCTTTACCGTATTCAGAGGTAGTTATGAAAGCAGGGACTGGGGAAAAAAACAGTTATGGTAAACAGCAAGGCACAGCTGAGTCATAGTTCAATTACTGTAACAGTGGGTGAATGAATCAGGAGCTTGTGGATGGCGATGCTGGCTCACTTTATTGAAAAACTGATAAAATGTTGCCAACATTGGACCTCAACCCCATCCCCTACAGCTAATCTCTCTCTTTATTCAGGAGAAAAATATCTAACAATGCATGCCATCTAGTCAGTGAGGAAATAGGATGTGCTGGAATCCCACAAGGAGTACTGTTTCCTGTTTCATACTGAATTTGTGTTCTAACTTTGCATAGAGACAATTTGATACTTACATTCAGCTGAAGGAATGCACACAGCTTAGTTGTTTGCTTAATAGAAATTAAGAAAAGACAGAGCAGGAAAACAAATTATTGAATGAAAATCAATATGACGGTAGAAAGTAAACTTCTAAATTATAATTTTAACCAGATAACTGTAGATGGATGCTTGGTTTTTTTACTGTTCATTGACATCAGTAAAATTTATGATGGCTGTAATGGACACAATGTAAGCAGAGAGATGAAATTGAGAATACCATGTTCATGGCCACATTCCTCCCCCTGGTAAGTGAGATATTCCAGGCAGCCAGCCTTTTCCTCCAGAGCTGGACACGGTTCCCCACCGTTTTTAGGTTCCTGGTGTACATAGCGCCTACGGATCCGCAGCCCAGGATGACACTGCTCTGCACAGCCACTCCAATGACTCCACTCTCCCACAACACAGGGAATAGCTGCAAAGCAGTTTTAAAACATTATTAATAGTCAAGACTTCAGTTTTATCTAATTGCTCTCAAAAGCTTAAGATAATAAGATTATACTGAGGGGCTTTTTGTTTGGTTTGGGTGTTTTTACTTTCTACCTTTATTTATATGGGTTTAAACCATTCTTCCAGGATTTTGCATATTCAAATTGCAAATTCAAACCTGCCTGCAATGCTTGGCTCACTATCCCATCCCTTGTCCACAAAGAAACAGCCCCTCAACCAA